ATGATGAACCCCCGAAGCAACTTTGGCATTGCAGTGATTGATGACTGCCTCTTTGTGGTGGGGGGTTTCAACGGCTTCACCACCACGCCTGATGTTGAGTGCTATGATATGGAAACTGGTGAATGGTCTGATGTCTGTGACATGGAGATCTCCCGCAGCGCCCTGAGCTGCTGCGTGGTGTACGGACTCAACAACATGGACGAATATGCTGCCACTCGTTACTCCCTGCAACTCTCAGATGAGGAGAATGAAGTGATGAAGATCTGACTATGACTTGTATTGTTCTGTAAATAAATATCTTTGAGCATCAAACTACAGCATTGCTATTTTCAGTTTGTGTGATAACTTGTCAACTCTCTACCCAACCACTTACAAACCCCCATGGACTTCTGACCTCCCTGTTGACCGGTGAAAGGAAAAAACATAAACAACTCTCCTTGGACAAGAATCAAATCATCACAAATGTCAGTCAATAGAGACAAGCAGGCAAAGTGAGACTTGACAACTGCAGTTATAGTTATGTATGTAATGTGCAAGACAAACACTAGGTGGCTCCAGGCAGTGTCAGGTCTAGTGATCCACAACACCTACAAAACAGAGAATTAAACTAATACTGCACTAAATACATAAGCAACTCATTCATTAACTTGTGGTATCTACAGGTTGAAGATTCTGACCACATTATGGCAATGTGGCTGTTTTCAATCTGACCCAAGACCTTTGTTGTATGTCATGCTCCATCTCTCTCCCTTCATTTCCTGTCTGCTCTGTACTACATATAATCTAACAAAGGCAAAATACAAATAAATGATTAAACTAAACAAAGTAAAGAACAGGGACTTTAGGGTTATTTCAAAGGAAAATGGAGAGGCAGAGCCTCATCTGCTTCAGGTGATGTCTCACAGGGGAGGAGAATGAAAAGGTAGTTGAGTCTTTGGAGGAGGAAGACTCTGAGGACAGTTGCAACAAGTCTTATTTCTTTAATTACGCACTGCAATTCTTATTTGCCAACAATGCTGATGTCAATATATCTGCAATATGAAAATATCAGCCAATATATCAGCCTTGACAATTCACACAACAATTACACTGCCACACCCAGTGACATGCTATTATCCACTACACTTGGCCTACAAGGCATTTGGGAAGTAGGCCTTTGCAAATTTTCACACAGGCACATCACATAGACCATTCAAGAGAACTTAGCGGCTTACTCCCTCCACACTGGGGGCAAGTCTCCTGTCCTTTACAATGAAGGAGGCTATGACCTGGAAAAGCAGCAGGCCTGGATGGTGTATATCTGAGGCTATTAAAGGACTGTGCAGCCCAGCTGGCTGAGCCTCTTCAGAGGATCTTTAACTTAAGCCTTCAAACAGGGAGGGTCCCGGCCCTGTGGAAAACATCACATCTTGTTCTGGTACCTAAAGTAGGGACCAGATGAGATAAATGACTACAGACTGGTGGCCTTCACATCACACATCATGAAGACCCTGGAGCGGCAGCTTCTCCACCTTCTGAAGCCACAGGTTGAACATGCACTAGACCTCCTACAGTTCACCTACAAAGAACATAATGGAGTGGCTGATGGCATCCTTTACATGCTCCACTGGGCCCATTCTTACTTGAATGAGCCACGTGGTTACATGAGGATCATGTTCTTTGATTTTTCAAGTGCATTTAACACCATCCAACCCCCCATCCTTAAAGACAAGCTGGAAGGGATGGGGGTGGATCCATGCTTCACGTCCTGGATTATGGATTACCTGACAAGACCACCACAGTACGTCAGGCTGGGTAACTGTGTCTCAGGGACAGTGATGAGCAGCACTGGGGCTCCACAGGGGACTGTTCTGGCTCCGTTCCTGTTCACCCTGTATACAGCAGACTTTAAATACAACTCTGAGTCCTGCAACATCCAGAAATACACAGATGACACAGCTATTGTGGCGCGTATCAGAAAATGGCAGGAAGAGGAGTACATTGATCTGACGATGGCCTTCAGTGAATGGCGCAACAAGAACTGCCTCCTTCTGAACACCTCCAAGACCAAGGAGATGGTCATGGACTTTCAGAGGTCTAGGCCCGCCCTTCAGCCAGTCAACATTCGAGGGAAGGACATTGAGGTGGTGCACACTTATAAATACCTAGATGTGCACCCGGGCAGTAAACTGGACTGGTCCCTGAACACGTTTGCTCAGGTCCTTTGACGTCTGCAGTGAAATGCTGCACTTGTTTTATCAGTCAGTGGTGGCCAGTGTACTTTTTTATGCTCCAGTCTGCTGGGGCAGCAGCATGTCTGACTGCAATGTAAGATGGAGGCCATCTTGGACAACACCAATCATCCTCTCCACAACATTCTGGCAGGACAGAGAAGCAGCTATGGCTGCAGCAAACGTCTCATCTCACTGCGCTGCAGAACAGAGAGGTTCAGGAGATCCTTTGTTCCCACTACCATTAGGCTATACAACACCTCAGCCAAAAGAAATGGACTAATTTAATTATCATTGTTTATTTATTATTAACTGTTATCAACAATCTATTCACAGCAGCCTTACCAAATGATGAATCTATACTCCCCTTGAATCTGGACCAACTAGCCAACTATAGGGGAGACAGGGATGGTTGTAACATTTTTGACATTTCTGTCTGTATCTTTTAAGCCAGTGCCTTCAATTTAATACAAACCAGTTCCATGTGTCTGCTATTAAATGGTAGTGTAGTGGTGTTATCTTTTGCAATGCAAACAGAAGATGTCTGTGGTTTAGTCTCAACACAAGGAGTGAAATGTTACAATTCACCTATTCGTCCAGGTTAGTTGAAACATACACTGAGGTGAAATGTTACATCATGATTTCAGAATAATGACAAGAACTGGATATTGAAGCTTTTTATTGAACACTTTTTTAAACATAATTGGTGTGTGTGTGTGTGTGTGTGTGTGTGTGTGTGTGTGTGTGTGTGTGTGCGTGTGTGTGTGTGTGTGTGTGTATTGTTGTTACAACTAACCCAGACTCTTGTAGCCACGAACCACCTTAACTTACAGCTAACAGCTAAAACATTAGCACTGACAACTAGCATGAAAAGTATCTACATCATCTCCCAATAAACATGATTTAAGTTTGAAGAGTTTAACAACAGAGCAGACAGTACTGTTATAGAAATAAATTAAGTAAAAAAAACAAAAAACTTTTTTACCTCAAAATTTGATTTTTTCCTTCTAAAACAGTCTGTGTGTGTCACAGGGAGCTACTTCCTCACATGTAGACATTAGGACTTAACTGAGCAGGTATAGACTGAATTAATTGATTCCTTCCTTGTTCCTGATTGGAGAAATTGAAAGTATTAAAATTGACCCATGTTACAACCATCCCCGGTCTCTCCTACTGAAGGTGGCACAGGCTATTAAATTACTTTTCACAGTCTGCAGCACTCAAACACAAAGAGCCACCTACATAAAACATGTTTTACAAACAGACTGAGGAAAGATGATCTTACCTTTATGCAGTTTGAAGAGCCTGCTGCTCAGCTGTGTGTTCAGGTTCATCAAAAGTGATATTCTCGGTTTCCACAATGTCAAGAATGCACTTTAGAAATTGAATAAGGAAACAAAGTAGGAGGAAGCAGACCTCCACTCTACAAAAATTCTAATTCAGAGTAAATTATCCACATCTCCCCCAAAATTTAATGAGTTCTTCCCAAGCAACCTCCAGAGCTGAAAAATGAAGACAGCGCTGAAGAACCATAAACTTGCAGTTCCTCTAATGACCACCAGAGTCTGGCTCCAACAGTGAGTCAATCCCCATAGACTCCCATGTTAAAATGTCCAACTTTACAGCAGAAATAACATGAATAAACATGTTGACAGCCTGGTACAAAAACAGTTTTGGTCTCTGTTGTGATAACAAACATCACTTAATGTGTATGTTAATGCTATTCTCTGTTACTGTCACTATGCCCCCTCACCAGCAGGTGTCTCTATGTGTCTGTGTAGAGCAGAAGAGAAGTAGGCTACAGACAGATAAGGAAGAAGTAGTTGTGCAACAGGTAGAGAGGATACAAATAGTATGAGCCATGTGTGCTATCAGTGTTAGGGGTTGCTAAATAAACTCCTGTGCTCACTTACCAATGTAACAGTCTCTATAGCTAATTTCCTCCTTCATGACAACTGTTTATATAACTCACCTGTTTACATTTTACAAAGGAATTAAGTTCTGCATAATTGTGGGCGAGGTATCTTTGAGTGACAGGTGTTATCTGGGAGTTAGGGGTGGACTTGGGCACTGCTAGGATGGTGACGGTGGGAGCAGCCACTCTGAGCTTCAAAACTGCTCTTCAGAAATGTGTGGGTGATGTCACAGAGGCTACGTCCATCTTTATTTACAGTGTATGGTTCTGCCCTGGGCCATTCCCCATCCCTTGATGCAAATCAGACAAAACCTTCATGACGAAGTGACAAAGTGAGGGGGAATAAAATCTAATCTAAATGAGGGCAGCAACTCTTTGTCTCCTCCCCTTGTCAACCACTGTGTAAGTAGAAATTACAATGCATTGTGTAACTTATACAGCTTACAACTTGAAAAGGCTGAGCCTGGAACCTTGTACTGACAAAACTGACTTCATCATCTAATAGTATCCCTTCATCCCCATTTGACTGCATTACATGTACATGATAAACTATGGCAGCATCATTACCTTGTTGGTATAATATTGAAATGGTACAATACCTGACAGCGTTCTTTAGTTGAAAATGATGCATTGATACACTGTCTCTAACTTAATTTATTATACTAAAATGATAAAATGATGAAAAATAATAAGTAATTTTAGTCACTCATTATGGAAGGCATGGAAGCGTGGGCTCAACAGCAAGAGAAGATTACTGAGGGTTTGTTTTCACTCTGCAGGTACACAAGGCCCACAACACAACAAATGACACAGAGCCTTAAAATCTTATTTTTCAAAATTTTATTTTCATAGGCAAAGTGAATTTTTTTCCTGCATCATTAACAACATGTTTCCTAAAAGGAGCTGAAATTTAAATGTAACCAAATCAAAATCAATACAACCTTATTAATCATTCAAGTGAAATAAATGTGTGAGCTATTTATTCTATTGTAGCCTACTACAGAAGCTAATGCACATTATGGTTAGTGGATGTGAATAATTGTTTTTCTAAATTCAATTACTCAGAAAGAAAGTTACCTTTTTGGATGGCATAATAACAAGTGGATGAAAATAACAAGTGGATTTAAAAAACAAAGCCTCAGGCCTCTGTGCCAAGAGCAGTCCTGTAATCTGCAGACACTGAAGTCCAATCAAACAACAAAATAAAAAAGTAGTAGTGGTGTTAGACTCTGTAGACTGACTCAGTCCTTCACAACAACATTGATGAAGCTCTTGATGTTCCTCAGTTTGTCGCTATCAAAGTTCACCAACAGCACGCCGGAGCCAGTGCTGCTGGGAGTGAACTTAACACTGGCTCTGGCTTCCTGTTTGGGGCCCACAGCTTCAATCCTACAAGAATCATATGCAGCAGTTAGTGTAATCTTTAAAACTAATCACAGATGAGGTTTCTGTTTTATACTGATCTCAATTCTTATGCACACAGCTATGCTCTCGCTGCAGGGAAATATTCATGTGACTTTGGGTGCGTTTTACTTTTTGCAGGCTTTGGCTTGAAGCTTCATCACAATCAGTCACAGTTTAAAACCATCTTGTACATCAAACTGTAAATTAACTGTGATGGGAATTGGGTGACACAAGTAAAACTATAAAATAGAAAAAAGAAATAAAGCATAGAAATAAGCATGACAGCATAAACCTGCTTATAACACATACTTGGCTGTTATGGGCTTGCCGTCGGTGAGGCCAACCCCCTCAACGGTGAAGCTGCAGTCCTGCAGCGGCTCTGGTAAAGGGTTCAACAAGGTCATCTCTGCCGTCACAGGCTGGTTCACTGTGGCTTCTTTCATCAGCTGCAGAGAGGAGTTCAGGTTAACAGGTTTCATCATGTTAGAGCTGGTATAATATTAAAAATGACTGAAATTATGTCATAGTAAATTATATAATGCAAACATTTTAAATATTTAACATTGTTGTTGATGAGGTCTATATATGCCTGAGTGGGCTATCAACAATGGTTACAACAACAGGTTACCTGACTTAAAGTATAATATATCATTCCATAAAAGAAATGACAAGTTCTACTGTATGTGAGATGGTGAGCCCACTGATCTGGTTTAAACAAAGAGAAAAATGATTTGATTTTCAAATGATTCTTTTGGAAGAAAGAAATAGGCAGATTTATAGCTCCATATAGATTCTGACAACATATTTAAATAAGGCACTCAAAAAATGGTTACAAAAGCTTATTTTACTTTTACCACAAACACTATATCAAAATGACCAGTGCATTTCAGTCATATGTTCTTAAGGGGAAGTGAAAGAACATACAGTATAATGGACAAGATTAAAGTTACACTCAAAGAACTGGTGGAAGCAATCTGTTTATCATGTTATGATGTGTGGGCACAACAGACAACAGATCTCCATTGTTTACAGTCACAGCTAAATAAGAATGACTTAACAAAAAGGCTGAAGAAAATACAAACAACAAAAAGGGACAAAAATAAAAATAAAAAACATAAATCTGATGCTTCAGTCAGCTCTGACAGAGTTGGGGCTTTAAGTATAAGAGGTTTAAAGTGATTCCCACTCCTAATATGACTGCAAATCAGAAAAAGCTCAAATAGTGTTTGGGCCACTGGATTGACTACATTCAGAGATCTTACAGCATACTGACTGCTTAAACATCCATCCAGCAAATATCAACACAGACTCTGTATTTTAGCTGATAAACCATGAATGCTTTTGTGCAATTACATTACTGTGCAGCTTTTTCATAATGCAAATTTGCAAAAGCTAACTGATCCAGCTGGGATTAAGAAACAGAGGGACACTAAAGATAAACACAGATCAACAGACGGGGCCTAATAATTATGTGCCTGCAATGCAATAACATTGAAGGCATATACTAGAAAAATTCCTGGAGAAATTTTAAATGTGCCGGCTGCTTGGTGCATGTACTTCACTCCTCACATTTCAATCTGCTCAAAGAACATTACTTTCAGTTTCATTCATGTCATAGAGACTTATTCTGACACTGACCTCAGTCACTTGAGGTGTCCCTCAGAAAGCCTTTTGAAGCTGTCACGACTGGCCAAGATAACCTCACACTGATGGTTTCAAACCCAAATTTGTCCCCACAACCACAAGACATACACACATGTATAAACACATGCACATGCCCTAACAGTTGATCTGCAATAAAGCAGTATCACTATATCATACACATGCACATACAAGCACACACACACACACGCTGGTTTGCCTTATACATGCTCTAATACTTGAGAGTAAAGGAGTAAGAGTTAATAAGTCAATTAGCCTATAAGAATCAGCTTTGTCCACTTCTGCGCAGATACTGCGTTAGTAGCACCTGCTGAGACCTGAGACTTGCTGTTTGCTATCAGCTTCTGAATTTGTACTGTAGCTCAAAGTAAATTCAATGTATGCTGCTGTATTTACTGTTGTACTGTCCAGTCTGAACTGTAATCTCTCTCTGTGAACACTAACTTGATAACAGCTTTCTGCCTGTGTGTGTGTGTGTGTGGGGCTGTGTTTGTAAACATCACAGAGATCAAAGAGCCTCCTAACAAGCCATATAGCCATAGCTGTGTCTAGCTGGAAGACACAGAGCTGAGTGACATTTTGGCTCAGTGAGTCTCTCAAACAACTGCTATTTTTGAAAAGAACTGTAACTCCTATCAGAACTATGAGCAGACCTTGATCTTGGTCACAGATTGTGTGGCTTTGGTGTTTCTGGAGCCAAAAATGTGGAAACAGGAGCGAGTTACAAAAAAAGAGTCATTTCTCCTTTTCTCTAGAAAAACAGCTCCTGAATTTGTATTGCAGTCAAAGGGAGAGGTGGCGAGTACCCCCATCACTTTGAGGCTCACTATTCAAATTCAGTAAATCTTTGTGCTTAGGTAGACACTTTCTACGATACAGCACAGATTTGTCTACTATTGAGGAAGCTGTGATGTGTGAAGACTGAAATATGTGGCCATGAGGATGAGTTACACAGAATTTTTCAGAGGAATTCTGGAGCTTCTCCCACTCTAGCAATGTCATCCACTCTAGCTCTGAACATTCTGTGCAATACACGCCCTTATAAAGTCTGAATCGGTCTAAAAATGACACAAAACATAAACTTTGATTTTGTGTAAACCGCAACAGTTGTCAAAATACAGATTTAACCAAAAATAGTCTGAAGTCTTGGGACCTTAACGTTTCAACCATTTCTCTATGTTGAAGTATGACACACCAGTATAGCTCCGAGATGCATTTAACCACCGTATAAGGACCAGAAAACTTTGCCTGGAAGGGTCACAATGGACACAGAGCCAAAACACCAGTACTAAACTCATGCAACTCAGCCCGGCGATCATACTGCTTTTTCATTTAAGCCTGTGAGGTAGCCAACATTTGTTTTGCCAACTCACCTGTCTAAACCCATTAACATAGTCAATAAGGTTGGTTGGTGGATCTGACTCCTTCCAACCATCCTTATACACACACAGGGGACCCCGGAGAGTGTGGCCAAACACTAAATCATTCGGGCTAAAGCCCGTACTTTCCTGCACTACCTCCCGTGCAGCTAAAAGCAACCACGGCAGCCCATCTTCCCAGTCCCCATCTAGCATTGTACAATATGCACGCAACAGTGACTTGAGTATTTGGTGAAAATGGCGGGCAACATTTGCCCAAACATGGCTGCCAGCTAAACCATTACCCAGGATGACATCAGTGCCCTCCACTGGTAACACCGGTCTAACACTCTTAAACACCTCACCCTTCACCATTCACAATCTAGGTTCATTTTATGCACTGGGACAGGCAACACAGTCAACCCCATTCCCCTCATAAGGATTTTATCCCCAGTATCAGTCTTCTCTAAAATGGCAAAATGGATTCCAAAACATAGGAATTGACAGCACCTGTATCTCTCAAAATCTTTATGGGCACTTTAATGTGACTACCAATCTGTGTCACAAACCCTTCCCTGACAAAAGGCAAATAGGACTCATCAATGCCAGATTCTACATGCCCATCCTGACACAGTCCACAGAGAGCTCTGGATGTGTTCCCGAGACAACTGCTCTGTCCGCACAACACACAAAAATAAACTAAAAAACAAACCAACGGGCCCAAATGAACCATGTTGCTACACCTATCAAGGGAACTCCACAAGTGAGGACACTAGTGGCCCACACAATCACTGGTGATAGTTCCCACCTGCATGCCTGGACTGAACTCCCCAGACTGAAACAACTAAACAGCCAAATCAACTTCCTATCCAAAATGCATCTCCCAAACACAAGTTGTGCCGAATGTACCCATCACTATACATCTCAGCCAAAACCTGTGCACCTTCAAACAAAACCCTAATAAATCAAAACTCCAAACCACAGGCTGGACGAACCCTCACTAAAATAAACAGACAATAAATCTAGGAGGACAATTTAAACTAATAGTGGCATGTGTAATCTGTAAGATCAGCAGTGTGAGTGAGTGCATGAGTAAAGAAATGTCTGAATGCAATGTTGTATGGTGCAGCAACAGAAACAAGACAAACCAAATGCCAACCAAACCAAACATGTGCCTCAAGGAGGAGAGAGAACCAGAACTGAGTTCCAACATGGTTTTAAAAGCACTGGCACACAGGGCCCAGGTGTGCCAGGTCTGCTGATGAGCCCAGGTACTGACAACCCTTTACCACACCCACCTCTAGTACCTTTAAAAGAAACAACCACAAACAGGAAGCAACATGTACACAGGTGGAGAGGATTGTCACAATGCTTAGGCTCCAAAGTGACTAACTGAAATTAATTGGTTGATTTCGTTGCTGTTCTCACCTCGGAACTGATATATCTTGTAACCTAAAGATGTTCTTTCATTTTATAGTTTAATCATATATTATTATTATCACCCTATAACATGTTTTACCCCTCTCTCCCCATTTTCAAATGTAAAGCAATAACATGTTTACTCACAAACATTTTAACTGACTTACTTTGTTCTTTCACTGAGAACATTTTTACACTGTGATTTACCTTTACTGATGTCTTTTCACTAATAGTAGTGACACCGTTCACATGCTGACGTGCTGACGTCAGTGTGGTGTCTCATCTCCAGTCAGTTTCTGTTATTGGTCAAGTTTATTGCTTCTCTGTCTGAACACAGCTAATGTTGCAGTTTTCTTCATCACAGTGTCTAACTACCTGCTGTACATTTAAACTTACACTAGTTCTACTCCAGCACTCAGAGCTCTCTGCTCCTTTTAGTGACTTTCACAGTTGTTTACATGCTGTTCAGATCTGCTAGTTACTTTAGCTTAGCAGTTAGCACTAGCTTCTCTCTCTCTCCCTCTCTCTCGCCCGCTCAGTGTGGTGCTGTTGTAACTTCACTGTAGAGGATTGTGATGTTTACTACATCTTCAGCGATGTCTGCTGTCTTTAGGCACAGCTCCAATCGCTAACCGGAGCTAACTGCGGACTCTACCTGCCATCCTTGAAAATTATCTTCAAAAAAAGTCAGACAAACTATTTAAATCCCACAATTTCCAACCTTCATTGAAAGTTTTTTTTTATCAAAAATGTAGATATTTTTGTCCTGTATCACCTAGTTTTGGTCTCATTCTGATATCTTTTACAGTTTTTGACTGTAATACAAATTCCACCTTTTTGGCTCTAGAAACACCAAAGCCACATAATCTGTACACAAAGGTCTTTTGCTGCTCATGGTTCTGATAGGAGTTACCGTTCTTTTAAAAAATAGCAGTAACAACAACAACAACCCACACACACACACACACACACACACACACAAAGGAAGCTGTTTACAAGTTAGTGTTCATAGAGAGAGATTACAGTTCAGACTGACACTAGTAACGCAGTATCCAGGGAGAAATGGACGATTCACTGATTCTTATTGGCACCATGTGGATATTAACTGTATAAGTGTCTCAACCTGGTAACAGAAGCTTTTTGGAGGCTGTATGGTAGACAGCTCTACTGCCACACACAACAATACACACACACACAATGACAGACACACACAAACACCATCTTACTTTTTTGATATTCACCTTCAAAATAAGAGTCTGAACCAGATTGAGAAAGAACTTACTGGAGGTTCTGTTGGGCAGCTCTACCACTACACACAAATTGCTCATGAATAAGTTTCTTAATTTCTTCCTTCTGCCCATCCATCTATCCATCCATCCATCCATCCATCCATCCATCCATCCATCTATCCATTCTTACCTTGATCTTTATCTCTGGCTCATCTAACACAATAATCTTCTCAGCCTTATGGTAGTCAGTGGTCTGCTTGTTGATGGTGATGGCTGACAGCTGGATCAGTCTGTCTGAGTTGATGACTGATCCATAATTATCATACTTCAGTCTGAGGGACACGCGCCTTTCTGAAAAAACACACATATTTTATACACATTAAATAGGTTATTACAACAATCTCAATGTGATTTTATTATGAGAATAGGTTTCTGACAGTCTGTGAACCATGTTTGAACCAACAAGGTATTTATCCTGATATTTGTGTGGTACATCTGAATGAGTTTGAATTTCTAACTTAATATTTTTCAGGCATAGATGGCCTTGTTTCATTGTGGTATCTTAAAGACTTACTAACAATGGGGCCATAATTTCTGTGAGTTCATTAAATTCACTGTTGAGAAAAAAGAGTGTTTGCATTAAGATCTCAGCCAACCTTCTCCAGCGGGCACCGTCACTTTGTCTGAAGTAAATCCACAGCTCTCTCCTAGTTTCCCGTTGTAGCTGACAGCTTTGGCAAAGAACATTAAGTTGCAGGTTCTTGCCTCCAGGAGGTTGTTAGTGAGGACAGCGTACACCTCAAAGTCTGAGCCCACGATCATGTTGTCAGAAAGCTTGATCTTTAATGAGAATTATGAGGTGATTAATTCAATTAATGGAATATACAAATATAAAATGCATAAGAATGCATTTTTACATAGTTTACACTTTCATACCAATTAGCAGGTTAATATCTTGTAAAAACAATGTTTCCTAAATGTAAAACAGACTATTCTTATCTTATCTTGATCTTAGCAACAGTAGTAGATTCAGTTTTATCAAAACTATACGTAATCAAAACTCATCAGAAAATCCTCATGACAGTGGTTATGATCAAATGAAACAAAACTGATGAAAGCATATCAACAATGAAAGATGAATCAGTTTTCTATCTAACCTCCCACCACCCACATATTTGACCAAAGTGGACACTTCAGGATACTTTTATCTTTGAAGGACACGTGTACAGTTCGTATTAGGTTGCGTGTCAGTGCTGTGCTGTATGTCTGTATGTCTGTCACACCCATGTTGATTACTTTCAGCTTGTGAATGTCGTTCTTCTTTCTTGTATCACAAGTTTTTATTTCTTTTATTTTCTTTTTTTTTTAGCCAGTGAAACTACCATTTCGGTGTAGATGATGTGGCCTCTTTGGAACTCTCCTGTTGTCTCCCGCCCCAGTACATCTATGTATAAACTGTAATGAAAAAAAAACAAACCTTGAGATGGAATCCCGGCACTTCTCCTTGCTGCTGTAGCTTGTTGTGGTGCTTGGCCTTCTCATACACCTTCCTTTCCTCCTTGGAGCCTGAAAACCATCAAGTTCCATATTTACTGAATCTCCTGAACAGTGTCAAACACAAAGCCCCTTCAATACTATGATCATTTTGAATGGCCAGACATGGGTCTTATGTGATTACATTTTTTTTATTTTTGTGTTACCTGAGGTCATCTGTTTGCATGAACAGTATGTCATGTGTGTCTGTGCACATGTAACTCTGCAGTACCTTCTGGATACTTGTACTGGTGTGTGATGTCTTCTCTGTTATCTGAGCCCACAGCTTTGGTGCTGATGAAGCATCCAACCGACTTAGTTGAGCCACCGAACTTGACAAACTTTCCATTTGACAGGCTGACCAGGTCCACAACATCTGCATTAACCTGTGTCCACGCATGACATGAAATTCCATGAGTTAGCACTACATACAGATCTTTATACACATACATACTGTACATCATATCTCAGAACACAAAATGAATCATTCTCTGCTTGGTGGGTTAGCTGGGATCAGGTCTTGGCTCTAACCCTGACTATAAAACTATTGTAATCTATAGAAGTCATAGCTAAAAACAATTATGTTTATATTTGTGTCTGTTTTTCATGAAAATGTTTCAATAAAAATCACCTCAGCAAAAATGAAGGGAGTGTCGTACTTCAGGGTCAGCTCTCCTTCCTTGATGGACCTCAGTGAGGCTGGTCCGCAACAGTACACACCTAAAAAGCAGTAAATGCAGTAAGGGTTCAGACATGCAGCACTCATATTCAGGGCATACAAATCATTGAAGTCATGAAAAATAAATAAAATAAGCTACAAATGCTGAATATTTTTGATGATCCGAGTTTTGCCAGTTCCAGAGAGAAGTCCCAACTGCTGTTTTGCTGTCAGTATCACAATACAGACAAGACAATACAAACATCTAAAGGTAAAAGTTACATAATCACATTTATAAACACTTCTACAAAGTCATATTACTTTGATATGTGTGACACGCAACAGAGCCTCACAGAGGCCACATGATGTCTCCAGAAGAGACATGTGAATATACTAAACAAGCTGTCACAAGTTTGCCACAAACCATACGCTAAACCTGTGACTACTGAAATGGTGAAATGGCATGCAACCATTATGGTGCATCATTGTAGCAGGTTTTATATAGTTATAGTTAGATTTATCTTTCATCACCATCACTTTTCTCCTGTGGGGTCGGGTCACTGGTTTGCCACCCATCATACTCAGATCCCAAGTCTGGACGAGTCATCCAGCTATCCACCCAAACATGGAAATTCCTGGGGAAGCATGTAAAATAAAATAATGTGGCCATTTTGCTGTGAAATAATGTAAAAAAAATAATCAAAGTTTCATTCTATCACAAAGGAATAATGGAAGATAACAAGAGAGAGCGAGAAAGTAAACATGATGTATTGGAAGAGACATGTGCAGCAGCATGATCTCCACCACAGACTCACCAAATCATATCATCACCAGAAATTCTCTCACCATCTTCATTATACAGGTTTTCTATCACCAGGTTAGCGTTAGTGTCGTGAGCTGATGTAAAGTTAGTAACCACTCGACACGGGATGCCCAGGCTTCGGGACACTGAAAGAGGGAGAAGAGCAACACTTCATCACACAACTTTACTAAAACTAGTGTTGAGGATCATCTTCAGATGGTGTAGTGGATCTTCTCAGTCACTTCAACACTTTAACTTTTAACTACTTTCAAGACAAATGTATAACACTTAAGGAAATACTCACAACAACAGCAGGCAGCAGCAGACAGAGTCAAGAGCAATCCTTGTAATTTTATAGTAAAACAGAGTCTGGGTTCATGAACACAGATACTGGATTAGAGTGAAACTCGCTTCACCTTATATACCCTGTTGATTACCCCCTCCTGGCAAGGTTGAAACTTAGATGTCATTAATCGCTGTCCATATCAAAGCAGTATTCACCATGGGGATTTCATGGAGCCATTGCCTATCACCTCGAGGAGCCTTTGATGTTCATATTTTTTACATTAACGGTTTATTGGTTTGGTAAAACTCTCCAAAAATAAAACCATGTATATTCATTTACTTTACTTAACCAAAATGTGTCAAGAGTGATACATACATTTGTATATATATTGAATCAAACATAGAAACACAGCTTTTTCCAAGTCTATGCTGGTGGGACTGTGGCTCTCTACCTCTGGATACATAGAAGGTTCTTCTGTAGTTCATGCAACAAGATACATTAAACGTGCTTGAGACAAAAATGGTAATCAAAGATGAACAGTAATGACATCAAATAAAGTGTAGACATAGATGGAGACAAAGCCATGAGATTAGATTCTAAAATTAGGGATGTGATAAAAAGACGACCAACCTGTGCAGGCGACAGCAGCAAAGACCCAACACTGGCCATAGCTGACGGGGCCACTTTTTGCCCACTTACGCAGAATGTCCCCACTGCCGATCCACAGTCCTGGATGAACCCCACCTTCAAACTTTATCCACGCTCCAATCAGCACCCCACTGTCATCGCAACTGTTGATCTGTGGGCACAGACAGAGGGGAGACATGAGAGAACAGGCATAAAGACATGAGAGGAGTGCTATAAGAGAACAAGAGTCACAGAGGTGAATGCAAAAAAATGAGTGGGAATCAAGGCTGAACATTTTCTCATATTTCATTGCTAAATCATTTTTAAAATCATTTTAAATCTATATGTACAAGGTTTGCTTTCATAAACAAGTGTCCAGAGTTCTTTCTCTGTAGAATGCTCCTCCACATTTCTTACATTTTAGGCAGCAACACTGGGACAAGCAAAGCTTGTAAAGTCAGACCTGAGTTTCACCAGCCTCACAAACATCTATGATATTATTTGCCTCATGACCTCTCTATAGCAGGGTTTCCTTCAGACATCCATCAGCATACAAGATACAAGACAGAGGTCTGACTGTGACATGTTTAGCAAACGTTACATATTGTGCTTTAAAGCATATGGATTAGTTCTGATAAATCAAAGCATAGGATACTCCAGACATTAGATGTGAGTTTTGAATCACTTCATATCATTCAGGACCTGTCACAGATATCATCACTGTCTTTGGACATGCCCAGTACTGACTGATTGTGTAGTGATAGATACTGAATGATGACACCCAGTAGAAATAGCTTTGGATTTCTCATTTAGCTATTTTGACTTGCAGCTGGAGTACATACTGACAGACTTTATTTGTTTGCTCTTTGCAACTTGCTTGGAATCAAACGCCCTTTCTTTGCTGCTGCTTTGTATCACACACGTTGCTGGGGGAGAAGAGACAGTTTCAAAAGAAGGAGAGAGGTTTCCCTGCAAGGCCTAGTATTCACTGCCTGTGAAGAAAGGAAAGTAGCAGAGAGAGTTTTCTGGTGCACCATAGTAATCTCTGTCTGCACAGCTAAAATAATGACTATTCACAGGCTGGCTACAGTTCTCACTAAAGCCCGGGCACCTACCATAGCACTCAGCACCCTGGACACATAGACAGGATTTCTCCTGGCAGAGCAGTCCTTGTCAGCATCAGATAAAAATTTGGGGTTTTTATCCAGGATCTTCAGACAGATATCCAGTATTCCCTGTTCGAACTGCAGAAGAAAAGAGATAGATGATACTGAGCATCATAAAATGTTTTTGTCACATTATATTTTTATATGGTTAATGACAGTGTTATTAACTGCATAAACTTCATGGAACTCTTTGAAAAATGTAACTTTAAAATAGCAAGCCATGTTTATTGCTCTTTTCAGTCATAGTGAGGAAGCACTTTTCTGTGTACATCTGACTGAACTTTATTGAACAGAAGGTAATGTTGAAGACTGTGTGAACCTGTCCAAAGTTCCAGGGAGTCCCTTTGATGCGTTTATACGTCCCCCTGTAGATCTGCCCATGTTGCGCCAAAACATACTCCTGCCTCTTCGCCTCACTGTGCATGTAAACAGCATCTCCTGTGAGAGATGACAGCACACTGTAATCGACCAGTGTTAACACGTTTTACTGCTGGTGTTTGAAATTCAATAAATCGATTTTATTTCTAAGTTTAGTGATCAAACTGACTTAAACACAAGGATCATTAAAGAGAAAGGAAGTACAAGCTGCAGGAGGAGTACAGCAAAACATACAACCCATATCAATGCTTCATGTACTCACCAGGGCACCAAGCATTAAAAAGCAGGGTGAACTGTCCTAGACTGGTCTTCTGCCCTTCCTGGTCCAGAGTCAGAGAATAAACTCCTATGGGGCTGTTAGGGGAGGAACTGATGGACACAGACACTGTGTTTCTAGGGGAATTACTAATAGCAGATGCACTCCACTCAGTGTCCACTGTGTGGTCACGTAGACTGAAGGAAAACTTAGTGCCTGATTGTTTCCTGGGTAACGGACCTGGGGAGACATAAAGAGTAAATCTAAATCCAGATAAGAGACAAACACAGCTGCTTCTTTCATATAAACATGCTCACACACTCCTTCAAAACATTTCTGTCTTGCACACAAGTAAATCTAAACACTGGGAGAGAAGATGCATACCAGTTTCAACAATGAGTGTGAAGCTTGTTCCACCCAGTTTGAACTCTTTGCTGTCAGGGTTCAGATGTAAAATGATGATGAAGGGTTGTCCCCTCCTGACAATCAAACGCTCCTCTCTATACAGCTCTGTGTGGTGGCTGCTGTTGTTACTCTTGATATTCAGATCACAGCGCTTGATGTCCAAGACTGTGAGTAGAGAGAAACTGCTTGTCACTTCAGTTAAAAAAAATCTTATCTGTAACAGTGTGAACAGACTGAAACCACAAAAACATTTGACTTAATAACTTGTTGACTTTGACCAGCCTGTCAAACTTTCTTCACTAATGATAAATCACAGAAATCAACAAGACATTCCTCAACACAGATACAGTGTTATTCTATGTTCTTGATCTGAGATATCTGATGTCATGCACCTTTCCCACTCATCACATTTTATATTTGACCTTCAATCTGATACTTATTCAAAGTAGACTGACTCTGTGAAATAACACAGAAAATTTTTTCAGTTGTATATTATACACTCCTCTAATAACTTGCAAACATGTGCTACAGTATGAGAAATAAATAGTTACCACGACTCATGTCTGCAGTGAAGTTCTTGTCTCTTGACTTGGAAAGTGACACTTCAGCTGCAGCCTGTGTTCACTGGTTAATGACCATGCAGCGTAAGGGCATCAGAGGGATATTTGTAGCATCTGAAACCTGATCGGGACTCCCTCTTCTGTCTAGTCACCACATCAGTACTTCTGTTTTTAGTAAGGAGGAGCAAATAGACTTGCAACACTCTACACTTTATTATTCAATTAGACCTTAAGGCTACTGAATGTTTTCTGCTAAATAAGCAAAACGAATGTGATCATGTGTTACCAAAATTGGTCCTAAGTCAGCAACAGCACAGTAACATCTTTGTAAAATTAGTTTTGTGTCAAATAGTTTAAAAATGTAACAACTAAAATACCTAACAACTAATGCTTTACTGCAATATTTTTTCAGTAAATGTAAAAATGAAACCACCAACAAAAGCTTTTTTATAAGTTATTAATACCATAAATTACTGTATGATTCAACATAAACAAAATGTTATCATTCAAAATTAATGAAAAACTGATAAATTACATTTTATGATGCAAAACAGGAACACATTCTACTGGTAAAATCTTTTTCTTTGCAAGGCAGAAAAGTACTTCATACATTTTCTCTCAAGTCAGCATAATGAGTTTTTCACTTTCACTTTTTTAGGTTACTGGAGGATGTTGTGAAAAGGTCATGATACTGTAACCTCAGTTTTCTGTCACTTGGTTTGCAGATCAATAGAACAGAACAGTTTAGTATAGACTGAGCAAAAGGGGAATTCTACATTTTTCTACATTTCATAAATTCTTTACTGCAAAATGTAATTTAGTAAAAATCCTAGCCAGAAGAACACCACTGAAACATAAAATAAAGAAGTCAAAAAAGAAGATTTCTATTTTGTGTTTGTGCCAAAATAAAATCTGCACAGTAACAATGAAAAGTTTTGAAACAAGTGTGTACAGCTGTCCTGAGGAATTACTCTGTCTGTGGAATAAGGAAGTGAAACAGTGGTGCAACATCCTCATGTTACTGCACTCTGTCTCGTCTCCTCCACAGGGTAGCACAGAGTTCAGAGCAAGACACCATACAATTTCTTAAAAAAAAAAACTGAATAAGAATAAAAAAAGAAATAAAACTTCACTCACCCCACATTTGAATAATGAAATAATTTACACATGAATGAAAGAAAAAGCAGAAAAGATGTCAGTAATAAATAAAGTTACAGAAAACAGAAAAAACACGGGTCTGCCATGTCATAGGAAGTCAGTGGTTTTAAAGAAAATAAATAAAAGTCGACATCACAGCCTCAAAGTTATCAAGATCCTGTCATCATTTGTATACTGTACATTTCACATGGACAATAACAATAATGACAGTTTTCATCAATAACTTGTTAAACATAAAAATACATTAAAAAGCATTTAATATAATCAGAAAAATACTTTTTTGTAATTGTCATGTTCATGTAGGTTCAGGTGGAACATTGATAAGTATGGAACCATTATTGGCCCCTAAATACCAGGAAGTGGTTTTTGTCTTTAAGTATGTAGTGATACTATAACTGTTAGTAGGCAGAAGGATTATAATGTGCACCTCCCCGGCCCCCAAGATCCTTTCTATCTACATGAGGTGATTACAGAATACTTCAAATCCAGATGTGAAAACATTAGCGAGTGGTCTGTCCCTCCTGATCAATGATTAAACATAGAACTACTGAAGAGAGACAAAAGACAGCAGTCATCAAATTGTTTTTACTTTTCCATATTTGCTCACGTATCCACATTTCTCCATTTATAGTCATCAACTTTCAGTGTGGACCTCAAGTCCTGGGCTTGGGGGGGGTAATCTGGGCTCGTGGCCAGTGGATAGCTCTGGCCATTAACTGTATGTTGGACACTGTTGAGTTTGTCCTGTGATCTTGTATAAAAAAACAAGCCGAAACAATGTAATCCAGCTGTCAAGAGAACAGTGATACAATTGTTTCTTAAACTGGCAAATGAAACAGAGCATGTAACACAGAGAGAGACTTTACTTCTGTCTCAGGACAGGCGGTCTCCCATATGCATGCTCTCAAATACAGATGCTGGTCCTGCATCTCTGTTCCACACAAACTGTTGATTTCCACCACAGTAGTAAATACAACCTTCTCCTCTTTGATCCCTGCATACCAATAATTGTACAGGTTGTACAGCACAGGAGATCCAATAACATACATTAAAAAATGGCATTATTCTGTTACTGTAGAAGGACACAGATACCTGCTGCTCATTACTAAATGCATTATGCAAAGAACGTGTTCTCTGACTATAGTCAGTACATATGAATCAGTGTCAAGAGTCATGAGTCAGTCAAGCATTAAAAACATAAGTAGTTCACTCATCACAGTAAAGAAAAAAAAACTTCTTTTTTCATGAGGGTGAAACATTTTTCTTGTAGTTGTTGATGATAAATTAATACCAATTCCCATTTTGGGCTACTTGTGCTCAGGACGTCAAATAAACTATGTTCTTCATCACATGTTGAATGCATTGTGATAGCAGCTGATGCTTGGTTCTATATTCAAATAAAAACATGGTCAGGGATGAAGCTCAAAGAACAAAGTCACATATTGTGGCTATTATTTGTGGGTTAATATTGCCAGTGCTATTGTCATTGTATTATTGTGTTGCAATGACATGCAAACCAGGCCTTTTGACCAGACAATGCCTAGTGCCTCATGATTGCGTTGCCACATGACTGTGTTGCCTGTCTGTCTGCAGGGCGACCAGGAACTCTCCAGCTGGACCAAACAGCTTCAACTGGCCAATAATCTGCAACAATATTTAAAAGCACAAATATTTCACTGACAACAACAACAATAATGATAATAATAATAATAATAATATTATTATTAATAATAATAATAATAATGATAATAATAATAATAATAATAATGAGGATTCCTGATTGAGTGTGTGCTTTACCATGCTGTTCTGAATTAGTGATTAACTACTTAAAATGTATGTGGTGTTTATTTATGAATATTGCATGCTTACCTTCTGCAGGGAATCCAGGGCTAAACTTCTGTTGATTTTGCGATTATAATTTCATCACTCTAAAAAGAATCCCATAACATAAGGTCTTGGTGAATAACACTTACTCATCCCACTGGAAAATTGCTGCATGAACCATGTCTTTAGTTTGCTATTAGAAAAGATGTTTTTCAGGAGCAGAATTACACTTAGTTAATTTACTCACTAACACACAAACTTTTCTCAAGCCTTTACCACTGCTATCATTAGAGAAACAACATGGCATTGAGACCATTGCCTTACAGCTTATATGTACAGTAACTCCCCACATTACATTGTGATATTGTCATGTGTACCTGAGCATGAGCCAGATGTGGAGGTCCTGGGGCGGCACCCGCTTTCTTTTTGATAATGACTGGCGAGCTGTTTCTCCTCTGGCTGGGGGTCCGACACGGTGGCGGGCGGGGCTTTGAACTCTGGGATATAAATGAAGAGGAGCTGTCCACTACCTCTCCACCAATGGCAGACAGACAGCTGTGGTCTGAACTGCTGAAGTAGTTGATGCATTCCCCAGATGATTCAGTGCTGTCTGCTAAAGGAGAAGCACATCAAACACTTTGAGAAACAGTGGATGCTGAGGTTTGTGCATCACTTGACACACTGAGAAAGTTGATGTAAGTTCAAATTCCATAATGGCATCCAAAAAATGAATGAACCCTTGAAGAAAAACAGTTCATATCAGTACATGCCTCCATGGCTGTTTGCCACAGTGTCATTCTTGATGCTACCACCAGATAGCACCAAAGAAGTTTCAAATCTACAGTGACTGTAAAAATGTCTTCTCATATTCTAATTTCTTACTACTTTAGGGTAATAATCATATAGTTATATTGTCGTCTGTCATCACCATCACCAAGGCGATCTCAGTCCAGACTGTTCTGGTCTGTGGTTTCCCCGATGATGGAACGAGCTACTGAATTCTATCAGAGCAGGGCGTCCCTCTCTATCTTCAAGAATCTCCTCTGAGGGCACTTCCTTTCCTTAAACCCTAACATGTCTAACTAGCACTTATTCTGCACTTTTCGTGCATGTCTTTAAAACAATCTCCTTGCACTTATTAAATAGATGCAGTACTTAATATTTACACTAAGGTTTCTACTGCACTGAAGTTTACTGATGTCCCATACTTGTCAGTCACTTTGGATAAAAGCATCTGCTGAATGAGTAAATGTAAATATATAAATTATTAATGAAATATTAATGTTCATTGTATTTGATCCAATTTTGCTTACATATGTCAGATGTTTATTTAGAGGCTGCTGAAGGCCAATAGCAAAATGTCTAAAAACAAACTCACTCAGAGTTTTCCACTGTTCACAGTTACGATGAAGATGATGCTGATGAAGATGATGGTTGTTGAGTTCGTTGTTAGTCACAGCCTCAGGGGAGGAGCAGGCGGGAGGAGCGGTCTCCACTCCCTGCGAATGGTTCCCGGGATAACCAGCAGGGGGCAGTGAGCCCCGGCCAGAGGAGGAAGATGATTGGCTGAGGGTGGTGGAAGCCGTGCTACCAGAGCCAATAGAGTGTGGTCGTGGATAGTCTAAGCCCCTGTGTGAACAACATGCCACAGGGACTGACGACACACATAGATAGATGTCATCAGTGAGACAAAAATGTGCTGGGTCAGTGAGTAATGAGGAAGCAAGCACCACTGCTATTACACAAATATTTTTAGTTTTGTTACATTTAGTGACTTTGTTTGCTAGTTTTTATGAGGTAAAACTAACAACAAAATATGAAAGGATGTAAAAATGTAAAAAATATTTAATAGCTTTAACTTAGTTTTCACTTGTCAAATTGTAAAATGTCATTAGAATTAAAAGACTAAGAGACTACTGCCTCACTAGAGGCTCTGTAAGGCTAAATGGTAATGTCAGCATGCTAAAGTGCTCACAGTGATAATGTCAACATGCTGATGTTTCCGAGTAATGTAGACCATGTTCACCATTCTAATTTAGCATATTAGCATGCTAACATTTGCTGATGATCACCAAACACAAAATACAGCTGTGGCTGATGGAAATATCATTTTTACAGGTGTGTTGTGATAACCAAATAACCAAAGTACTGGACAATTTTGACCTGATGATGGAGCGAGGTGAAAAGTCAGAGGAGCTGCAACAATTCACCCTGAGAGGATGGGTTTATGATGGTGCAGAACTTAGCTGAACTTCATTTGAAGTGGAACATGTTGTGTGTGCAGCTCCTTACTCCTCCCAGGCAGGACACAGCTCACAGCTCTGTCACAAATTGCAGCATCACTGGGTTGAATGTCCATGAAAGGTTTGCAGCCCATTCCCATGAATACCCTTTCCTGCATACGTAGCTCTGGAACATAAAATGTTTTTCAGACAGGTCAAGCATTTTGTAAACAGAACTCTTGGTAAGTGCTAGATAAAAAAAAAAGAAGTGTTGTTGTTAACCTCTACTGTGAGCGGCCTGATCCCACAGGATCCTCTCTAGATCGGTGGTCCAGGCTTTCTTCACCTCCATGCTGGAGGCCTTCAGGGTGTAGGTATCCTCGCTCTTCCTCCTGCGGAACCAGATCTCAAAACACAGGCCACTCACACCAGAGGAATGGGTCATCCCAATGTCACTCGTCTGGGACAGAAAACACAAAAAGACATAGAAATGACACTGATGGAAATATCATATGTGGTAAGATGTTGCTGGAGGCTGAGCGGTGTTACTAAAAATGCCTGGAAAAAAAACCTGTGAAGTAGAATACACTCTATATTGCGACAGCTAAAAATAAGTTTGAGTATTATGGCTCCAACACTCTTGTGTGCTGACCTTGAATGACTGCTTGTAGACATAAACATCATTGCCAACATCTGTCCTCTTGGTCTTGCTGAAGAGGATCAGATCTTCAAAGAGAAATATGCGGCGGACACATTTCTTCTTTCTAAAGAAAACTGTGAACTCATCCTGGCGGATCAGCTGGCCCTGCTCTGTTAAATTCACCTGACAGAGCAGAGCAGAAAAGAAAAGACGATTAACTGCATTTAACTGCTGTGTTTCAAGTATATCCGATCTACCATTTCAATATCTTACATCACAGTCCTGGATGGCGTCCATGGTGAGCAAATCGTTGCCATGGCGCATCTGAAATCGAACCAGGTCTGCAGCAGCCTGGATCTCAGTTCTCTCCCGCTCCCTCTCAATGCTCGTCAGATCAGGCACACACGCACTTTGTGTGCACACACTTGTTGCGAGCAGTGTATCCTGAATCATGTCTTTTGGCCTGTATGAGCCAGCCAGAGCCAACATGTCCTGTAACAGGAGGCTGTACTTGCTGATCCTCTGGATGGGCCTCAGCAAATAGGATGAAAGGTCCATCATGTCCCCCAGCTCCTGCTGCTTTTTCTGTAAGGGGAAACACAGTGGACTGTGAAGCTGGAAAGGGAAAGCATAGCACTAATACTCCCAGTGTCAGGGCTTCAACTACTGCAGCCACCAGAGCTGAACATGTATACAATAAAACATGTGTCCACCAAACAAACTAATTCCTGATGATTGAAGGGGAAGATGTTAAAACTTCACGAATCCCAAAAACACCTCATACATCATTACAGACTCATCTCTCTGAAACTATTTAAACAAACTCAATGTGAAGATGCCAAACTGTGTGTTACTACTGAAATGATAAATTAAAAGGGATTTTGGGAATATTAAGTTTCAAGTGATTTAGTAATTAATAACAGATCAAGACTAAAAATCATTAGAAATCATTAGAAAAAAATATGAGATGATCCTCCAGTGGTGTCTGAGCTGCTCTCAGTGTTACTTTAACTTTAAAATGACTGTATTTCCGACAAGTGGAGCGATAGAGTGCTGAAATGAGAATTTGTATTCTGTGCTGTAAAAACATCTGCTTAAGAACATTTACAGTGGGAAAACTAAACTTCTTGTATCTTCAGTTAAGAGAAAGACAGGACATAAACCCTGACCTTAAAGATGTCATGGCGACGGTGCAGGATGAGGGCATCTGACTGAGGTTTGTTCTTACTGTACAGAGCGTACAGGCCAAAACTCTCACTCTGTGGAGACAACCCACGTAAAACCATATTAGAAAATGTATCTAATCAATGATACCAGTTTAGCCACCTGCTTATCTGCAATGAAAACAGATTGATATCATTTACCTTTTATGATTATTTATAAAAAAACATGTATACCATACATATGATTATATTGATTACTACTCACATGTCTGAGAAAGCAGCGGGCCACCATGGCAGGCTCCCTCTGGCAGGCCTCCAGCTCTGGCAGGAAGTAGTGGCTGTGGAAGTCATAAAGCTTCTCCAGGTTTCCGAAGATGACTCCTCGCTTGCCCCTGAGGTCCTGGGGGATGTCCGGTCTGTCCAGCAGAGGGAGGTAGTGGGTGATAATATAGCCCAGTGAGCGAACGTACTCCCTCTCTGTGAACACCAGCTCCTCCAGGACACGCTGCAGTCTCCTGATGAGACAAAGACGACAAATAAACTTCAAACACAGACTATTACCCGTATAAATGCATTTCAATATGATATTTAATGATATATTTATTAGCTAGTAGAATTAGCAGCTAACTAATTTCATCTGTTAATCCTTTGAATAACTGATAGTGTATGTTGTTACTGTATCAGTTCAATTCAGATACTAGGAATGTATATTGGTTGTTATTAAGTCTAAGGTTGGTGGAGCTGCTTTTTAATAGACTATCCCCCTCCAACATGTTATTCTGTTTTGCTTTCCCTTCTCCTTGTTGAATGATACATTACTTTAATTTCGAAATACTGTCATTGATTATTAGTTTGTTAGATCTATGTAAGATCTGTGTCTTTTGAAACATGCATGTGATGAAAAGATATAGATAAAATCAATTTAGTAATTGATTCATTAATTGATGAATCAGTGTTCTCCAGCCCTCTGCTCTCTGGCTGAGCAAAATTAAAACATGCTGTACAGATTTTGTTCATAAATACAATTTGGCCACTATGTTGATATTTACTTATCTTAAGTTATGCATCATTATCAACAATGGTCAAAGTTTCATTAGATGACACAGTCACACGCTGTCACTGTTACTCTCCATATGCACTGTGATACACAAGAAACATGCCACGCATGGATGGATTATGAGACAACAGGACACTGGGCACAAAAATAAAATGCTCCTCTCCTACAGCTTTTGCTTTCAAACATATTGGAATGGCTTTGCTAAGTTTACTGTGGCCTAAGGATGATAGGCTGGTCAGATCTCATCGTTAGTAATCACTTCAAGCTGGGGGTCTGTGTCTGTTAGCCATTCTGTAATCCATTCATGTTGCCAAATTAAAAAAGTCTGAAGAAACAATACCTGTAGCACTTCATTGTCAGCTTAGAGACAAAAAAGAGGGCATGAAATCTATTTAAGCCTCACAAGACTCACAAGGTTAGTATCATTGAATTTTCACAGAGTAGTATCTTGCAGAGCAAATTTCTGATAATTCAAATCTTTTTTTTTATGAGTAATGCAAGTTCATTTCACCCACAGCTACTGTGATAAACTTACAGGGCATTGCTGCCACTCTCCTGTGGATTTGCCAAACAAAAATCTCCCTCATATCTCCCAATGGGCAGGCTGGAATGCTTGCAGCACAGAGTCCCATCACCCCCTGCGGCGCCCCGGTCGCTCATGCAGGAGTCCTCTGAGCAAAAGCTCCCATGGCGGGAGATCTGGAACTTCTGTGCCTCCTTGAGAATCCAACAAGACGGCTGACCGTGGTGGGTGCAGGACGACGGGGGTTGAACCCGCTTCTCTCGAGGAGTGGATGACCCTGCTGTCACTGCTCCTATGGCGCATGAGTCTTGGCTCACTGACCTCGCTCTGAGACCTCGTCCCCATGGAAACCATTGGCATCCGACAGTGTGGGACTGCGACAGAGCAGCGGCGTCTCGCTCACTCCTGGCTCTGCTCGCCTGTCTCCTCCTCGTCTCTCTTTCTGTTCTCCTTGATGATCTATTTGAAAATGACACACTGAGTCAGCAAGTGCTGCAGCAGGAGCACCAAGAACTGGACCCTTCACCTCCTCAATCTCACAGACTCACTGATGATGGTACAAACTCATGCTGTACCTACAACTCAGAACTTTATTTCAAATTCCAGTAGACATAGAAGGTTACTTATGTAACCCAGGTTCTCTGAGTGGAGAGACTATCCCTCCACCCTACATATTCCATATGTATGGGGACTGACCCCCTTGGGGGCAGCTGACGTGGATATTCTTTAAGACACATCACCTGTGGTGGCCATGCACTGATTAGCAATATGTTGTTATATAAACACCATACAAGCGTGGCCTCTTTGGTTAACCTTGATTGGAATCATTTTGGAGTGGCTTCTAGCGGCTTCTCTCCACTCAGAGAACCTGGGTTACATACATAATATTCCATTCTCTATTGTGTCATGACTATCTCTCCACCCTACATATTCCATATGTATGGGCCAAGGATCTTCATTGCAAGAGCCTTGGTCCCAGTTGCATAGATTGTCAGGCCTTGTCATGCTGCACTGTGCCCAGCACATGCTCAGCAAATGGGGTACTGGCTGCCACATTCATGCAGTAGAACCTGATAAAAGTGGATGGGGTTGACCAAGACGCCTGTCAAGGCCCTGACAGGGCACAACAATGATGTCTCACTCACCCCCACAACACCGTCTTGAGGACGGCGGAAAGGGTGCAGCTCAACAGACAGACCGGCTTGGGCCTCGGACCAGATCTTAGGGTGGAATACAGGGTTTGGGCGCAGCACCACCCCAGCATCACCTGGCAAGAAGTGGCAGCATTCCTTGTGCATCGAAAGAGCATGAAGCTCTCCCATTCACTTTGCTGACATAACTGCCAACAAGAATGCCGACTTGAGAGAAAGCCAACTGTTTCCAGTGGCTCGATAGGCTCATGCTGCAAGGTTGACAACACCAGCTCCAAATCCCATGGGGGGACAGCTGGCCTTCTTTGGTAGGGAGTAATCTTATGGGCACCTTTAAGAAACTGAGCAATAAGGTTACAGCAACCCTCTGCCAGTTTCCAAGGACCAATGCGAGCTACCTTTATGGCTGCCCCCATTCCCCTAGTCAAGGGAGACTTGCCCTACTCTACTAACATTTCTTGGAGGAATTCGAGAATGTCATGGGCCCAGTAGGGGAGGGGGTCCACCTGTCTTGAGTTGCACCATGATTAAAAGACTCCCCAACAGTAGCAATATGCTGCCCTTGTTGATGGAGCCCGGGCTCCCTGCATAGTGCTACCCACAGACTGGGGCAATCCCGTGGCTAGCAACTCCATCCTCTCAGGGGCCAGGCCCAAAGCCTGAGCCCAAAGCCAGGAGGCCCTGCGGCCACTGATGTGCCACTGCATCTGTGCCCACAGTCACACATCTTGCATCGTAGGGGTCTCAAACTAGTTGAACCCTCTCAAATCGAATATTGGTCTCAACTTCCCATGTTTTTTGGGAATGAGAAAATAACAGGAATAGAACCCAGCCTACTGATTGTCCTGCATCACCTCTCTGATGGCCTTCTTTACCAAGAGAGTGTTGATCACTGCAGCCACAACCCTCCTGAGCTGAGGGGCTGAGCATTTTACTTGCATCTGGCCCAAATATTGCAGATGGCACCACAGACAGCCTAAGCAAACAGGTGCGGTTTTCCCCCCCTTCACAATCCAGAGGGAGGCCATGGTCCTGCCAGTTGCCACCGCCTGCTCTTCATTAGCTTAGCTAGGAGCGAGGACACCTTCTGTAACTCAGCAACCAGGTCAGAACCTCCCTCCTCCAACCGTTTGGCCAGCTGGCGCTGATACAAGACCAAAATAGCCCCTGTATTAACCAAATGTCTGACAAGCATGGCATCCATAATTTTAGCGTTCCTGCTTGAGTAGCTCGGCTTCCCCAAGACAGACTTGGTGGGGGACACTAAGGCCCCTAAGGCCTGATCCATGGGAGGTGGTGGTCCACAGCCAATCCTCGACCTGACCATGCATACATGCTAGTCGTCTACATAGACCTGACCAGCGATGGGCCTCTGACGGTTTATCAAACTGTTTCAGTAACAGTTCCTCTAAATTGGGAAGCAGCGGTACAGAGAAAGAGCGTGGCTGACTCGCCTCATCATCAAAACGGGAGGCTGCCTGGCTTATCTCAGCTGGCATTTTAATTTGCAATGCTTGAGCTGCCCGGATAATGAGTTGGCAATAGAGAGGAAGTGGTTGCTCCCGTGCCTCCTCTACCTGCCTTGCCTCCACACACACTTGACCAGGGGGGAGGTCCTTGACCTCTGACTCAAATCCCCCTTCATCCGATGCATCAGATATGGAATGCACTATCAAGCTCCCCCTGCCTCACCTGGCCAGAGGAGGGCTGCTGTACAGTAAATGGGGCTAACACAGGGAAGGGCATTGCCAGCACTTTTCTGATGACTGCACCCAGGGTATTGACCGATTGAGGCTTCACCCCCACTTGGTCATTCCAAACCACCACTTTTGGCTACTTCACCTGCTGCCCAATGAAAGTGGCTGTACACTTTGTAACGTGAGAAGGTGTAGGCGGAGAGGCTAGCAGGTTTAGCCGTTAGCTCAGTCAGTCGACAGACAACGAAGTAGGGATTTCCACACGGTATTTTAAGTAATAATATTCTAGAATTCAACATAGACCATATTATGCCAGGTCTCCACGGCGCTACATTCACAGTTCATACATGAGTGGTAATATGTAGACAGCTTAACTGTCACCTTCGTGTTACAGAGAATCTTGGTGCGTGTCTTTCGTTGTGGAAGTCCGGAGGTCAAGAACATGGCGGACAAGAAGGCCGCTGCGTATACACTGTGCCACAAAAAGGAGGTAACACCACCTTGTGGCGTTATTCGGTATTGCAGTAAGCACGTTTAGACTCTGACTGTTACAACTTGTGAGAGAATGCTAGAGCCCTAGCCTCCCTCACTCTAGCTGGCAGAATAAAACAGTTCATACAGGATGCTGGGTCCTGGCTGGCCATGGTCCAGCCCTAAACAATGGACACATTGATTGTGACCATCATCCATTGGCATTTTTATCCCACAACCCAAACAGGTGTGGGCTTCTAGATTTGCTTTAATTTTGTTTTTTTTAAACAATTGATATGTTTGAATCTATGTGAATGCTTACGCAACTCAGGATTCGCTGGAAAAGGCCACCAGTAGCACTATTCACCCCTCATACATCCCACACTCGAAGCCTAAGTGAAAGATAGAAGCATTCCCGTCACCCGGCTTTCCCCTTTTTTACGTCCTGAAATCACACGCAGCTAAAGTACAGTATGTTCGTTCACGTCGTCCGAGGTCGGATTCCACGAGGAACAAGGGCTGTGAGTGTTATGCTGCTTTCAGACAGAACGTGGCAACGGCACCGCTGCGCTCAGAAACCCATTATTTCTAATGGCCGATTTGTCGGGATGTCAGGTGTGTTTCAAGATATACAATCCATGGTTTTAACAGTCTAGCTTGTTGTAGGCAGGCACTATGTGTAAATATAGTTCTAACGCTTTCTTCTGAGCACAGGAAAGATACATCTTTCAGCAACCGAACACACCGGAGGTTACCTGCAGTGTGGATGTGTCCGCTCATATACAGTCTATGGTCCCGCTATAAGTTTTGAAAACTTGGTCTGTCCTCCTGGCGAGCGCAGCGCAAGCTACGTTCTGTCTGAAAGCAGCATTTGTCAGACTATGCAGCGTTCCAGAGAGGGGCCCGTAGACCAGCTCTCCAACTTACAAGGTAAGTGGACCACGCTGATGTTAAAAAAATAAATGCTACATTCAATCTCATCTACTCAAATATCAAGATACACGCGTCTGCTCGACTACGTGGGAGTCAAGGAATCAAAAAGGCCACGCATTCGTGGTGTTGCTAATTACTGCGTGGCCACCACAGGTGATGTATCTTAACGAGTATCCATGTCAGCTGACCCCGTTGGAGTCCCTGTACATACGGAATATATGTAGGGTGGAGAGACAGTCTTGACATGATAGAGAACCCAAAGTTTACAAAAAAAATGCACAGCTTTGTAGAAGGAAAATATGTGTAAAATGATCCACAGGATGGATGGTGCAGCCCAGTAACTGGAATAAGTTGCCTTGAAACTATTTAAGGGGGGAACAAAAGGAAAACTAGATATCCAGGAGTAATACATTATTGTAGTACTTAGTATCCAGCTGCTTTTTGTTGCATTTGTTTTTTTATTCATTATGTAGTGTCAGGATTTCTGTGATTGGGAACAGTTCCTATACAATCACTTTTAGATAAATGCAGAATGAAAGAAAATGTGTTCTTATTACAAATATCAGCAGAAGACTCAAAGGAGTGCTAGCAGCAATATTTCTGGACTGTGTGGCAGAAACAGTGAATGAACTACTGTGGTTAAATCCTAATCTAGTGATATGAATGGATGAACAAAGAAATTAAATTACCTGTGAGGTGACTGTGGAGTGACCTTTGACTCCTGAATAGTTCCAGCATCACCATGATCCTCAGGTTTGATGATGATGTTACAGCCGACTACATTTGTTGAATTAGTCCTGTTCATGCCCAGAATCGGCTTCCTCTTCCCTAAATCCACCGCTCCTGACATGATGCCCTCCCACTGTGGGTGCCGAGGCCCGGGGGTCGATTGTACCACCAGACACTGACCACTGGGTGATGCTGTCTGAATATTAGTGCTCACCACATCTACATAATGACATTCACTCCAGCTGCTAGAATCTGGCTTTTGGTGGTGAACTCCACCTACATCCTGCATCCTCTCCTGAAGCTGCTGTCTGGCCTCCTGACATCTCAGCCAGGCCACGTTCCAGACTCCCATCCCCCTGGAGCCCCGCAGAGCGCTGGCTTCTGCCTTCACCTCCTGAAATTTCTCTGGGTTAAACTGGAGGAACCTGTCTTGGAAAGTCTGAAGGATGGAGCTGTCACTGCCTGACAGTGAAACACTGGTGGTGGTTGGACCAGAGCCCTGAGCTGTGGGGGGGTCAGACTGGCAAAGGGAGGGGGTTCTCGGTCCAGAGTCTTGGATTTGCTGTTGTATTGGCTGAATGTTTGATTGACTCTGGTCCAGGTAATCAGTGCATTCACTGGCCAGAGCCACAGCCTGGTGGTAAAAGAGGATTTCTTTTACTATACAAAAAACATGTTCTTATTTTCTTTGTTTATATAATGCTCCTGTACTCAGTGTAGTGTTGTAACTTGACTCAAATGTTATTCAAGTAACAGTAAGATTTCACCTATGTTTAAAACTACTCAAGAAATGGTGAAAAAGTACAAGAGTAAAACAGGTGTCATTGTTTTCCTGTTGATTGTTGTTTGCATGATGTCTTGTTTGAAACAGAGAACTAAATGCCATGTAATGTATGCTCTGATGAAGGTTCACATAGAGAAGAGTCAGCACATTGTCAGCTCTTTAATGTTGGACTTCATTAATGCTAGAGTATTGCCTTTTTCCCTTAATTCCCTAATATCCTTGAAAAAACAAATATACACACAGTAGCTCTGAACATGATAGACAGATATCTAAATATATTTGGTTTGAGCAAAAGTGTCAATTTCAGTATTATAAGTGATGATCTGTTAAAATGAGTTTGAGATTGCTATACAAAGGTGCATCCAAAGCAGCATTTATTATGACTTTATAATTCTTCTTGACTAGAAATACTTAAAAAACCTGATTCATTTAAAGCAGAATTATTGATTTTAGAATGTACTTCAGTTTAGTACAAGTGCAAAATACAAGTTACATTTGTTTGTGACTGGTTAATTTGACCCTATAATATTCTACATTTAAATGTATAGGTGAATATAAACCTTTATACACTGTAGCTGCATTCCTTCCAAAAAGGGTACTTGCAAGAGTAACAGATAAATTTAACAGAGCAACTGAGTGATCAATCAATTCAACAAACCAGTGTCTGTGGGTTTCTCCTACAGGGCAAGAGTTGATCTCATGTGCTTGATTTCTAAATACTAATCTTATACAAACCTGCTCACAAAAATCACACACGTTGACCATGATCTGCAGCTCTCTGCCACAGGCCTCTGCCCTGCACAGGAAGTCCTCCAGGCCTGACTTGAAGGTGCAGGCAAGAGTCCAGAATGTCTCTGTCTCTGGATAGGAGAGCCCGCTCCGCTGGAGCTTCTCTGCCTCTGACACTAGTGACAAGGAGTGGTGTCTTCGGTCCTGGGGAAGGAGAGGAAAGAGATTCAGAAAGAGAAACACCAGGAATATAAATACAGACACAATGGCAGACGCAAGAAAATTTAGACTCACATTAGCTTCAATAAGGAAACCAGTGAAGCTGTTTAGGATCTGCTCCATTCTGTCTCCAGAGTCTTCGACTGATTCTGCCTCCAGCAGGTGGCGCTCTCCTTCTACATTAAACCACTGCTGCATCTGCAGGGACGGAAGATGCAGAACAATGTTGTGTTTGGTTATTATTATGTGCCTGCAATGCAATAGCATTGCAGGCACATATTATTATCCTGCATACTTATTCAAATCTTTAGTATTGGTGGGATTGCTGAATAAAGCAAACCCACTATAGGTTGTTGTCAGTTTCTCTTTACTGGTGGGATTGATGAATAAATACAATGTTCAAATCCTTGAAACTTTCAGCCTCTTTAAACTTCAACTACTTCAGCATACTTTCAGCTACAGACTTCATTCAAACTTTAAAATGTTCACAAGACTTTCAGCTATTAAACTTGTATTCAACTTTTTATATATCTCAAACAGTTTTATCACAGTTTTAGTTTCATGCTTTTTCTTGAGTTTATAATGGGTGTGTATTGTACAGAATGTTCAGGGCTAGAGTGGATGACATCATCGCTAGAGTGGGAGAAGCTCTCAAATTTGTCTGAAAAAAATCTGTGTAACTCGTCTTTACGGCCACATATTTCGATCTTGACATTAGTAAACAAATTTGTCCTGTTTCATACAAAGTGTCTACCTTAGCACAGAGACACAGAGACTTTAAACTGTCAGCCTCAAACTGATGGGAGTACCCTCCAACTGCCCCATAGACTGCAATACATATTCAGGAGCTGATTTCAGGACAAAACCAGAACAGACCCTTTTTTGTAACTCGCTCCAATTCCACATTTTTGGCTCAAAAACACAAAGAGGTGTTCAGGAGAGTCTTGTGGCACTGAACATGTGATCATTTTGCTGATATTATGTACTGTTTTGTATTAAATGGCAGGAGTTTGAGAGATTTGCTGATCCCTTTCTCTCATAGATTTGCGTGAGCTCTGTGTCTTTGACAGCCAGACTCTCTCTCTTACACACACACACACACACACATATATATATATATATATATATATATATATATATATATATATATATATATATATATATATATATATATATATATATATATATATATATATATATATATATATTGACAGAAACACATAAGCACCATCTCCATGAATTGGATTAACCTTCAAAATAAAAATCTAAACATGGTAATAAGCAATTATTGGCTCTGTTGTATAAAACCTTAAGCAATATATACTGCCAAACACAGAGGCACAGACACTTTCAAAGGTAAGGTAGGTCATAAAAGGTCGATCTTGGAAGCTACCGTCTATATGGGGATATAGTGGTATAACTTTATTGTAGACCAACTTCTGTTAGGGCATGTACGTGTGTCAGGATAAGTCTCTACAACATGAATGAAACTGACAGTAACGTCCTTTGTACAGATTGAAATGAGAGGAGTAAAGTACACGCACCAAGTAGCAGGCACATTAAAAATTCTAAATTTCTCCAGGAATATTCTAGTTCTTTATACAATCTCACACTGTATAAAATCCTTGATCATTTGTAAAGGGGAATGCGCAACTGCACATGTTTTCACTCTTGGTTATAATGTTCACTTCAAAACAGAGGCAGTGGCCAACTCACATTATCACATTATCATTTCTTAGGTCAATAACTGAACTGTTGAGACTTAATTTTGTTTGAAAGTAAATTGCCTTCATCTAAAGATCTAAAGGCACATTTATGGTCAGTTAGGACAGGGTACAGTACCTGGGTGAAGTATCCCTCCATCTCTCTGAGTTGCAGCAGGTACTCCAGGTGTTCCAGCGACTGGTTGGACCTCTGTACGAGGACGTGAGCCTGCTCCTCCAACAGGTTGTACAGGCGGGTCACTGAGTCCACTGCATCACTGCATTTAGGAAAAAGGCAGATCACAGTAAACAAGTAAATAGATATCAGAAAAAAACAAAAACTGATGATCTCCCTTGAAAAAAAGTCTCAGAGTGACTTACTGTCATGGTCTCAGCCTGGAGGCTCCAGGGTTTTGGTTTTTTGGACTTTCTTGATTTAGTTTTCTGTGTTTTTGGTATTTCTAGTGTCTAGTTTAGTCTTCCCTGTCTTGTGCTCCGTTTCCCCGTGCACTTCCTGTTTTATTTTGTAATTTGGTTCCTTGTGTGTCTCAGTGTTTTGGCTTCCTGTCTTGGTCTTGTTTCTGTGTAGTGATGGTCTGCCCCGCCCTAATGTGTTTCAGCTGTGTGCAATCACCTTGCCTCCTGTGTCGATATAGTCTTTGTGCTCCTCTTTGTCTGTGTTGGTTCGTCTGTTTAGTTCAGGGTTTGTTCACGTCTGTTCATGTCTGTTCTTTGTTAAATAAACTTGCCTGCACCGTCTCCCATGTGTTGGCTGCATTTGGGTCCAACTTACCTCGCAAACCTTGACACTTACCTGATTAAATAATGGCTTCATGGAAAATAACCCAGATATACCAATACTTATTCTAACTGTAAGAAAAGTCTTGGCTTACTAACATATAAAGACACGTACTCATTCATATCTTTATTACGGACACATGTCATGGGGTCCATATGCAGAAAACAACAGCAAATAAAAAGAAATCCACATAAAATCCAATCAAAACAAAAGACATTCCACAATACTCAGACCTTTACATACAGGCTTTACAAGAGAAATCTTATCAGTCATTGAACACACTAGATTTATGAGCCAACATATTTGCTTGTGTGTATAGGTTTTGACACTGCCTGTAGATGTCCTTGTCATCTGATAGGTCATTGGTTATGTAATGTCCTGAATATTCAACACCTGACAGGAAGAAGTGAGCAAATTACAATTTTCTGTCTTCCCAATTTCTGACAATCATAATATTACTCTTGTTTGCATTATATAGCTGTTCAAAACCAGCACTACATGGACAGAAAATCACCAAATCATCTGCATACATAAAGTGGTTAATGAGAGAATTACCAAACACGCACCCTGTTCCACATCCATTTAACTGCAGTGACATATCATCCATATAAATATTAAAAAGAAAAGCAGATAAAATCCCGCCTTGACGAACTCCATTATTCACATTGAACAGATCAGATACAAAATTTCCCCATCTAACCTGCATTGTCTGATGTGCAGACAAGAAAACGTTTCTCACAAGAAATCTAGGAACCCCTCTTTGGTATAATTTAATTTTAATTTAATTTCACACTTTAGAAGCATCAATAAAACACATAGAAATTGTGGAAATTTGCCTTTTACATTTATCTAAAATCTCCTTAAAAGCAAAAACACACATATCAGTTCCATGTCAATTCCATTTAAACCCAAACTGTTCCAGCCTATTTAGTGGGATTCTCTCCAGCACTTTAGATAGGATGCTGGCTAAGGCTACAGGCCTGTAGTTCTCCGAACTGTTTTATTTCCCAGCTTTATCTTTAACCACAGAAACAAGTATAATAGATGGAATGGAGTCAGGTAGAATACCATGGATTAATAACCCAGAAAAACAAATAGCAAGTGAGGGATAAAGCCTATTATTTGCAAGTTTTAGGTGTTCAGCAGTTACATATCCATACCTGTGTCGTTAAAACATCTTATTCCTTTTACTTTTGCTTTTGACTTTTGTACAAAGTCAGATGTGATATTGTGCATGTATTTGAATTTAAAAAATGGCAATATGCTCTACTAACTTATAGTGATCTTTATCTATGTAACAAAGTCAGTGGACAGTGTCACTGTTGGACAATCTCACGATCAATCCAAATCTGTCTGCAGGCCAACCCTTGGGTTTTTCTGCACATGTAAATATAGCAGGTAAGAGCAGGAGTTTTTCCTCAGTGTTTACCTGAGGTCCTCACAGTGGGGATACTTGAGGTCATTCTCCTTCCTCAGCCTCGCCAGGACAGCTCCACCCTCTCTCTGCAGGCTGACCAATCTGCTGTCCTCCAGTACATCCCTCATCAGAGTCCTCTGGCTCATCATGCACTGCTGCACAGTCTGTTGGACAAAACATTAACATTAACAAAACATTTAACATCAGCAAACAATGTGACTCGTTCATATCAAGAACTTTGAAGCACGTCCTGTGCTGCTACAGTATATTGTGAAGATGATCTTGAAAACTTTTCTATGTACTTTCACCAATATATTATTCCCATAAAACTATACTGCTCATACTATATTATCCATGAAGACAGTTGCATAACACAGGGTAAACTCATAACATCACAAGAAAGCAGTCAAAGAACAGCATTACAGTACCTGCACAGTGTCACTCCTCTGGGGCTCCTCTAACCTACTGATGGCTCTCAGCAGCAGGCTGGACGCCTCATGAAGATCACATACAAATGGGAAGAGTTTCTAGAAGATGTGCACACAAATGAACTGTGAGCACAGAAGAGAAAAAACTAGTGCACCGCCTAATGAGAGAGGCAGAGACTCACCTGGTGCAGCTCCATCCAGTCACAGTGGCTGTGAGACAGTGTGCCATCCAGGCGGGAGCTCAGCTGACTCCCCTCCACCAGCTTCAGCAAGGCTTTCATCGTGGTCACCAAGTCAGTCTGCTCGAGGTAACAGAGTAACACCAACATGTTTTCACAGCTTCAGTGTTAATGAACAAAATAACTCTATTTAGCTGCTTTTCCAATCTTTATAACTGAAACAACACTTCCCACTTTATCATCTGTTTAGGAACCAAGCTAATATTTTGGAATCAAGGATAGAGGGCCAGCAATGTTTTAGGTGACTGGGCCCATAATGGTCGTCTGTAGAATTTTTTGTTTTGCTCATATTTTTTCTTCTTTCTTTTTTTTTCTTTCCTCTTACCAAATCTGAACAATGACTACTGTTCATTCAGTATGGTTTTAGCTTAAATGCAAAGACGTCTCATGGTGAAGGCTACTCGAAACATTTTCTTCAATCTTCGAAGATCAGGGGCAGGTTGAAACAGCTGCAGCTGGAGATCAAGACAAAAACACCTGATAGTGACAGTAAAAAGTGTGGCCTGCTGGTGGCACTAGAGGAAAGGTTTTGTGGTGTAGTTTCATAGCAGTCCACCCAATATTTGTCATGATATTCTACTCAAAGAGTCATTAGCATTCATCCTCTGGAGAGTAAGTGTCTGTAGCCATACTGTTTCTTTCTTTTAGTCTGGATCAAAGTGATGTGCGGACAAACCAACTGACATTGGGACATTGCTGTCCCAAGCACGACTAGAAATACACTTTGATCAAAGAGTATTTATAGAAACTTATTCAGATTATAACACTTTGTAAGAAACCAAACAGAAGTCTTTCTCCATATGCAGTGTTCTATAATAAAGCTTGTGAAGGGTGAAACCTGACCTGGACCCCAGGACATCTCTCAGGCCGGGGGCTGCAGTCCTTGTCCACCAGCAGCACCAAAGTGTTCACTGCCTGGGGACTCTGCTCCTGCAACAGTTACACACGCAATTACTGCCATTTAACTACAATAATCCATGTTTCATTTTGAGCAAGAAAGTAAATGGAACTGATATTAACACTAGAAAATTATATCACACTTCCTAATATGAACTGTACTATGCAGTCATTCAATTAAAGGCCAAGTTGTATATCATTATAATATAGGATGCATGCTTGCTTACAGATAAGTGAAGGAAAAACATCTTGTCACATGCTGTTTATGCTCAGGAGACCTCCAGTGTGAGAGCTCTGATCTGCTGTGATGCAGAAATTTGTGTGCTTCTTACCTGAAGTGTCATCAAGGCCTTGTAGAGCTGTGGTTGAGGATGTGTCTTCCTTGCATCAAAAATGAGTGTCATCCCAGCTTCTCTGATTTCTCTCCTACACACAGAGATAAAAGACAACAGTGACCATGACAAAACAGACCACAGAGATGCCAGAATGTCCTTCCGGTATATAAATGTACAGTGGGTTTGTTTGAATCTTTTGGTGGATCATTTGGTTAATTCATTTATTTCTTGATTCGTTCATTGATTCACAGGGATATGGATGTTAACACCTTACCTGGTGATTGAGTGGAAGTAGAGCAGCATCTGAAAGAGCTCCTGGCTTGTTACAGCTGATCTCCATCCTTCGTGGTCTCCATAGAGCTCAACTATTGCCCTGCTTGTCCTGTCTCTGCCGCCTGGTGGGGTTAGAGAGGGAAAAGATCAGGGAACATCTAAAAAGCTGTTCTCTGTTTAAGAGGATTTTTCTCCTGTAGCCATACCAATATTTGGTGAAGAGAGACATTCAGAGAGACAGGTCATTTTGTACTTTGGCACCTCCAGTCTCACATGGAAGTACAGAAAGGGTTCAGTCAAACTATAACGAAGTACAGTTTTCATTAAAGTAGCTATTCTGCATGTTGTCCCAGACATACAAAATAATTAGTTTTCATAGTACTGTGATGTTTTTTCAGGAAGACGCTTAAAACTAAATTTAAAAAGTGCAAAAACAATGGTGGCCTGACAGACAACAGTGCGAGTATGCTACCTGATACTAGCATAAGAAAGGAAATAATAAAGGACCAAAAAGCTAAAGGAAAATATGAGAAGACAGCTAAAGTAAAGAGTAAGAACTACTGTCGGTAGGTAGATTAGTTTGACTGCAATTTCAAAAGAGAAAAGAGAAAAAGAATTGAAAGAAAAGCATTGATAACATGACAAAAGACAATTAAATACACACAATTCACCTTTGAATTAAAACAAGTAATTACTTTTTTTTCTGTGTTGTCATTTTAAACACTTTGACAAACTATGTAGCTCTTGAAGCTGACAAACCATGTATGTGGGTTATAATGAGTATTGTGGCTGTTGATGTAATTTACTGCATCTCAAATTAACTTACCTGTGAGAGATGCTACTCCCAGATAGAGGGGGTGAGATCTGGGGTCTGGAGATCCTAGGGGGAGATGGTCTGGTCTGGGATGAGCAGAGGCAGACTGGGACATCCTCTGTGTGTCTGCTGCTGGAGGTGGATCTGTCTGTGACAGGTTCTCTGTCTGACAGCTATGTCTATCTGGAATGACCATTTTCCTCCTGTTGATCTTGGGTGAAACCAGTCCAAAGGCTGTGCTGTTTTTACATTTGACCACATGAAGCTGGGGAATCTCTGCTAAGGAGTCAGTATTTTCTCTTCTCCTGACATTTTGACCTTCAACAATGACCAGTGCACACTTCTCGGAGGTGTCCACCACCGCTGTGGAGAGGGAAGAGCATCTTCCATCTGACCTACATTCTTGTCTGTTTTGTGGCACTGTAAGACACTTTGGAATCATCCCTGTGGTTCTGTTTCGAAGTCTTTCACGAGGCTTGAGGGTCATGCTCATCCCTGAAATCTCACTTGAACTAAACAGTAATCCATGGTGTTTGGCAGAGATCACATCTGACTGTTTAGGATCGTTTGAACTTGAGGAATCTCTATCAGTGTTTATCCACGTTCCTGCTGCTGAAGTTTTTCTGTTCACACTGTGTAAATAGCTAGAAGGTTTGGCAGCGTGTGCATCCCCTGGTTCCCCGAATGGCACAGTGGTTTTTTCAGGCGCCTGCTCTGGTAGCCCACCATATTTTAAATGATTTGTGGCCCTGTACTCCAGACAGTGGGCAGTGATTGAATCTCCTGGTTTCCAATATGGAACAGTGTTTGCTTCTCCTGATTCCTTACAGATGGTTCCACTAACAGGGACAGGAGACTGGTTTTGGATCCCATGATCATGTGTCATTGCTTGAACATTACACCATGGATCCCCTGCTTCAGTCTCTGGTGGCTTCTGTCTGTCATCACACACAGAGAAATCACAATCCTCCTCCAGCACAGCTAACATATCCCCCCTCTTCTCCTGGCCAAAGGTAACAGGGTTTTGTATAGCAGCCTGGTAGGAGTCCCTGTATCGACATCTCAGCTCCTGAGCTCTGGAAACCTTCCCGCCCTGTCTCCTTGTCATGCAGGGGGTACAGGGTTTCTCAGAGAAGCGGACAGTGCGGACACACTGAGAGGGTTCAAGGGAGTTGTGGTGAGTGTGGTGTGACTGGGAATGGTGAGGAGCAAATGGAGGTCCTGCTTCTGTGGAAATGTTGGGCGTTAATGATACAAGAGCCTCTGATCTTGAAGGACTATGTGTTTGTGATTGTGCCTGAGCTGATGTCTGTGTGTTTGGGTGCCTTTGTGTTTGCCTGTATGACTCTGTTTGTGCATGTGGTTGCATTTGTGCTTGTTTCTGTGGATATTTTTGGATTTGTGCTTGGGTTTTTGTGTGTGGCTGCCTTTGCACTTCTAATTTCTGTTGTTCTTCTGTTACTGACTGAGCTTTAACAAAAAGCATAGTTGCCTGCAGTATATCGATATATTCTCCTTCTGCAGCAGCTTGGCCTGCTGGCCCGCTGCGGCTTGAATCTTGCAGGTTTGTGACTTTATGTTTATCTTGCCCTTTAGTTTCAGAAACAATCTGAATCTTATCTGCACCTCTGCACGTATTTGTACTTGCAGGAGTGCATGTACCTGAAACTGTGCTTGTTTTTGTAGCTGTGTTTGGATCTGTCCCTGTAAAACGGCTGTCCCATGTATTTGGGGAGACCCAGCCTATAGGCTTAGGCTCCGTGTCAGTTTCTTTCTCTTTGACCAGCCTAGCTGAAGAAGCAGCACTAGTATCGACCAGGCAGAGTGACACAGCAATGCCGTGCTTGGCTGGACATATTCTGGTCTCCACAGAGAAGGCAGAGGGGTGTGAATTTGTTAAAACTGAATTTTGAATGGTTACATTACACTGTGCAGATTCCTTTGCTGGAGACAGAGGAAATGAACGATTTGATGAAGAATTCTCAGAAAAATGAGGAAGAGGTGGAGGAAGTGGAAACGGAGGTGGTAAAGGAGGATATGAAGGAGGAACAGAGGCCATACTAATCCCAGCACACTCTGGCACGCCCACAAAATCAGGCAGAGCCACCCGTTCCCATGGTAACCTCACCACGCCCTGCTCGGTGGCAAGTAGGCACTGGCCGAGAGGTGTTCCATGGCGGCCCTGGTTGATCTCCTTTAACCAATCACAGCTGAATATACAAGGATAGGAAGTTTCAGGGATTGGGGTCTCCTCCACTACCTCTGCTCTAAGGCCCTCCTCTTCCAGGAGGCTGGAGACCACAATGCGAGCTGACTGGTCACAAAATGGTGTCACCTGGAGGTAAAAGTCACCTGGCTGAAGTAGCAGGGGGTTGAGGGGAGCGAGGTGGATGACAACTTGGTCATGCAAACACAGAGGCCAGCCCTCACAGAGGAAAAGTACATCAGAGTACTGATCCTAAAAGAGAGAAAGACAAATATATCAAGATTTTTATTATGATATTAAGTCCAGCAGGAGGATCTCAGTGCAGCTTTGTATGTTTTACTTTTTGTATGTATGTCTCTTGACTCAACACTGCAGAGTTCAAGACAGTGACTTACACATGCAGCCTGCTGCACAATGTTCAAGATCTGCTCGGCTGGGACCAGGAACTCCAGCAGGCACCGCAGGGCGTCTCCCTGATAACGACCATCAATGATTTGGAAGAGCTGACTGAGAAGAGTGGGGGCGGTGGCCTCGAAGGGTGGGTACAGCACCGAGAGCAAGTTCTGGATCGAGCCTTCCAGAGAATCAAGGTTCTGAAGAGACACAGGAGAGAAAGCAGAGGCTTAGGAAAATCATTGTTTATCAGTTTCAAGGTCGAAAAGCCATCTTCCGTGAGTGACAGTGTACGGTAATGCACCACTTGGATGAAAACTTAGTTCAAATGGAAATAGTCACTAACTTCTCAAACTTAAACCTTACGATGTGATGCAATTTCACATACCACTCGCATATTCACATGTTCAAGGAAGATGCCAAGGAAGACAATAACATAAACGAGTCACTGCAAACTGCGAAATACTATGCTACTATATTACTTTGACTTTAGCATGAAATGTTTATGCCTTTTGAATGAAATCTTTATGTTCAGTCGCTGGTACTCTGGAACTAATGATTATGTTTGTTTTTTGATTAATTTATTAGTATAAAAAATGTCAGAAAATCGTGAAAACTGTGCATCACAGTTTCATAAATGTTAAGTTTCACAATTATATAAAACAGCAGCAGAAAAGCAGTAAATTCTCACATCTGAGAAGCCAGAACCAACAAATATTTTAAATGTGTTTGCTTTATAAACGATGATAAATCAAATTCTTTCAACTGACTCAATTTATCATGTTGCCTCCTCTTCTTCAATTCTGTTTACTACAGAAGTCAACAAAAACATTTACATAAACACAGTCAGTAACCTTTGCCTCTAGGGGTCTCTCAAAACAATGAAAAAGGCGACATTGGGTGACGTCATGAAATAGTGTGGGATCATGGGAGTTGTTGTCTTCATCCCCATCACCATTAGCTCCTCCCGGTTTGGATTCCTTCAGTGTCAGTGGTTCAGGAAATCAAACAGACCCGGTGATTAGAACCATTAAAAACACTGAATAAAGCAGTTTGACATTTAAAGTCAGTGTTTGAGCGACACTAACATTTGTTCTGATTGTTTCTCTGATAACTTATGAACCAGACGTTCAGGAGGTTTTTACCAGCAGCTGAATTATCCACAGAGGTGTCCTCCTCTCCATAACAAACACACCAGGGGAATAAAACCAGTAGAAACACCCAGAAAGCTGTTTCACTTTAAACTTCAGAGATTCACAGACGCTCTTCAGTGACACAGGACAGGACGTCTCCAGCAGCTGGGAGCTGAGCTGTCTAACATTTCCTCAGTTTGTTTCCCTGATAACTTTAGATCCAGACGTCCGACGACTAAAATCCTTCATCTGGTTCAAATAATGAGTGAAAACCACCAAGTGCATGTAAAAAATGTATCTAAGTCAATGCTGAGCTTCTGGTAGGAAACCAAACCACTGACACATGATCATATAGGATATGATGTCATTGACAGGAGACTACATGCATTACCATATTAGAATTACATTTTTCTCTAGGTTTGAGAATTGATAGAAATATATGAACACAACTCAAAAAAATATATAACATAGGTCTAGTCATTATTAGACATTTTAATGTGGAAAAGTTACAGATTATATATATCCTCTGTGATGTGCAGCAATGCTACACAACAGGAAACCTGGAGTCAGTCACTTTCATCTGACTGAGGTCTTACAGTAAATTACAGAGGCCTTGTCCTCAACCTCCTGACCTGCTGAGAGAATAGCTACACAAACTCATCATTAAACATATATTCAGCCAGCCTGTCAGCAAACAACCAAGTAAACACAGTGTGTGATGGCTGGTCTCAAGGCTAGCTAGCCTCCTGGTTTATAGTTTCACATTCCCTTTGACCTGAACTCATGGCCCGCTACCCACTTTTAGGCCCTGCTTTATTTAGCTTGGCAAAGGCCACGGCAGCAGACCTCAGGGGTTAATGTATATATACATGCATGGAGTCTCTGTGGGGAGATATATGGCATCAGGAAGGGTGATGTGTGAATGTTGACACATAGCATGAATGCTGCTGCCCTTTTTTCCCAGGTATGTGTTCAGTGATTTTTACTGTATGTGATAACACCAATGTCAGTGTAGGGAAAGAAGCAGAGGAAATGCTTCATGGTTCAACATTTACGTTTATTCACTTTCTGTCACAGCATGATATGTAACGGAGAGATATGCCATTGGTATCAATCTTTTCCTCTAATTCTCAGTCAGAAAGGAAGTATTTCCCAAAGTGTCCAACTGTTCCTTTATTTGACATAAAAACAAGAACCAGGAGAACAAGACAAAACTGTGATCACAACAAAAAACCCACCAATCACACATTTAAAACTGGGTTCATATCAAAAGATGTTCAAGTCATATTTTGATTTTCTCGTTGTGATTTTGTTAAATCATTCCACACAGCTCAATGGTTCACAGCTGCAGTGATGAGGACAGACAAACGTGCAGATGGAAACAGAGAGGGGTGTGTCAGGGCTTGATGAATTATGTCCCCTCACACCAACACTGGCTCACTGCCTCTCCAGCCCTCTTATCTGTTGTGCATCTCCTACTCTGCACCTTTGAAAGGGCAAATCTTTGAAAAGGCCTTAAGACTTGCACTCTATACTAAATGGACTTTCTAACTGTTCTTTTCCTTATTCTGTGTCTGGATGTTTGTTGTTTCTAATGTATCTCCCACTGCCTGTCCCCTTTTTTTTGTCAAGCAACAATGCTCATCACCACCCCCTCTATCTCATCCTGCGACATTATCATCTGAAACCGAACTCTGAAGCTGGACTCTCAGCCTGTCTGCAGCCCTGACAGCTCCACAAACAACACAGTGACTCAGAGCTTTCTGGTCAGTCCTGCCACACCCTGCTGGGACAAAACACAGCAATGGTCATCATGATAACACGAAGGAGGAGGAGGACAGTAATGGAAGCAGTGGGTATGGCTGTCAAATAAGTGGGGGGTGAGGATGGTTGGAGGCTCAGAAGCACATTATGTACTGTGAGCAATTTTAGCTCAAAGCTCATGAATTTTAAATTCATTGTTTTCCCATCCTGAAGACAACGAGCACCTGCTTCATCATCAAATAATGTCAGTGACTTCCACTGTTTTTCTCACTTAGGGACTCTATATTTGGGCTGATGATATTTGACAAAGGTCAGCTTGAAAATAGCTGAAATGTAAATGTGATCTTAAGAAGGAAACTGATGCTGTGTGCTCTCTACTGGATGAATAAACATGCCAAGGCTAAAAAGCCTTTGTAGAGCTTATGAGAGTGAAATTTAAATTTAATGAACTCTGCTGGTAATATGAGTCAGCTGGTTACTGGTTACTCTATGTCAGTTATTTAAATACTGACTTGAAAATGTAATGCTGTAAAACCATGAATGCATTGTTGAGTGTGTGTGTGTTTATTTGAGAGTCTGTTTCCAGTATGTGGTGTATGAGCTGTATGGACCTGTCTCTCTGCCCGGGCCAGCACACTGTTGCTGCAGATTCACACAGCTCTATATAAACACCCAGACCTCTCTCACTCAGCCACTGAAATAAATGACGATGCTCACATTACTCTGGATAAGATGTCCCAGAGCGCGAGCTGAAGACAGTTTGACAATCTCTGCCCAGTATCATTATGAAACAGAAATAGTCTTTGAACATTCCTGATGTCAGGCAGCTTCCTGCCTGGACAAGAACAAAATATTTTACAATGAAAAAAATAAAAGCATCCATGGTGACTTCATACATTCCTGTGGGACTTTTATCCCCTTCTGCAGTGTGTCTTGAACTGTGACATTACTGTTTTTAGATGACATGCAGTAAAAGTCCCCGGCCTGGTTTCAAACAAGGATGTTGCGACTACATGATACACATCCACTAAAGTAGGCCACCAGGTGACTCCATTGTCCCTTTATAATATATATCATCTCTATATATAGTTATTCACATTTGTTACCCCCCCCCCCCCAATTTGCCCTGTCTGACTTTTCACTGACTCTCAAGGACTCTCAACTCCTTGCGCTGTCAATTGACACACTGGGTCAGGTGAGCCAACATATTGGACATGTTGCCGCTAGCATGAACAAAACTTCACTGGTTTACTGACGCAAGGCTTTTTTGCACATAACCTGAGCGGAACAATACACACATGCCCCGAACCGAGACAAGCAAACCGAATGGGATGGATTTCTTTCATGAACTGTTCCATCCCTAATTTCAACCGTGGTAATAGATGAGGACTAACTACATCTTGGAAAGACTGAAAACAACAATACTGTCACTATAAATTAATCTTGAATTCAGGATTAGGAGTTTATGAGGGACAGAAATAGAAAATTAACTGGAAAAAATATTAAAAGCATTTGATTCCAGAAATGACAATGTTCATGACACTAACTTCAACTTCATTATTTATATAATTACTGTACATCCCATCAGTTTATGAAGTATCCTCACAAGTAACATTCTTGAGAAATATGTAAAGGACAATAAGCACAACTGATGTGATTTGGCCAAACTTCAAAGCATTTCAGATGCTGATAGAGCTTCTAAATAAGAATGAAAAGAGTCGGTTTCCTGTGTTTACATCTGTGGTTTACCATCTGAGCTGATATACACAGATTCCCGACTGGATTACACAAACTATTTAAAATGCTGCTGTCTGCTGCCCACACAGAGAAAAGCTGAAGGACAGAAATGAAGGGAGGAGTTTTTTATCTTCTGAGTGTTATGGAATGATCTCCATCAGTCTGGACTTTTCAGGAACTTTGATCAAGATTTGTCTTTTCAGTCATACTGTGATCACTTCTGTCCACTCAGCTTGACATTTTTGGACTGAAGTCGAGGATGAGCTTCAAGTGTTGTAATTCCACCCATAGTAAAAAAAAAACAGGAACTGGGAGGTGCTGTGAAATAAACAAGGTTACAATGCACAACCTCAAAAACAAACTAAAACAGCAGACATTTTGCCTCTGCTCTGTTCTTTTCAGCAGGAAGGACTCCCTCACTAACATGTGATGACCTGGGTGTGTCTTCAGCCTGCTGCTCTGCTGAGCCATTCACTAAAAAAGATAACTTTCTGACAGACAACAGCTCTCTGCAAACATGTGACCTGACCAAGAACTACTGACAGTGACAAACAATCTTAACTATTTTGTCATTTGGACAAAAATTCAATTGTGCAATAAACAGATTAGCGCTGACGCAAAAGCTGCGCGAGTGACAAACCACAGAACAATCAATAAAGCACAGCAGAGTGTCGCACCAGGAACGTTTCACAATGCGTGAACTGATGAAGAGTTAAAACAGATTGAGATTCTTTCATGGTGAAAAGCAACATGTCAAAACTATTCAAGAACTTCTTTCAGCTTTGAACTAATATCCAACCCTCAACCCTCAACTACAATTAAATTACTAATTAGCATAATTAAGGGCCCCTCTTTACTATGTTTTATTCCTGTTTGTCTTCTGTGTTGAAGGACCCATATTTAAATTTTATTGAAATTTTATCCCCAAATTACGTTTATTTATTAGGATTTATCTTTTTCCTTTATTGTCACTATAGAAATAGAGACGTGAAATGACAACACACACTGTATCAGATCTTTTCTCTTTTTAACCTCTGCCAAGGAGATTATGTTTTCATCCGTGTCTGTTTATTTTATATTCTATCTATTATCAGCAGGATTACGCAGAAAGTACTGAACCGGTTTGAACTGAACTTTGTGCAGGGACGGGGCCTGGGCCAGGGAGGAACCACTTATTCTAGGACAGATGCAGCTCATTCATTGTGAATTTTATTTTGTTTCAATGAAGTCTGGTGTATGTTGTTTGACATTAGCCTTGGTGGAGGTCTGCGCTCTCTGAGTGTCCTTCTAGTTGTGTAAATATTTAATATTCTGTGCTATTTAGAACTTCTGTAAATCTGCAGCATGAAAAGATATATATATAAAAAAAGGTCCCAAATTCCATCTTGTGTCAGGGGGGCTTCACTTTTCTGGAGTAAATGGATGTACCTAATAGATGTTGTACCTTTTAGCCTAAAAGCTGCACCGTTAGACTAAAAGGTACAAACAAAGTTAAAAAGTTTTTTTTCTTTTTAAATCTTCTTTCGTTCTTTTTCTGAATGCAGCATTTTGTGGGTCTCTACCTCAACACACCTGATGACACCTGAGCACAGGCACAAACCATATAACCCTGGAGCTGGACATAAACACTGAGCAGAGCTGCTGTACATGACCACTGAGACACTGGAAGGGCCAGACAGTATATTTAGTAGCTTCACGGGGATCTGCAAATTGGAGCTTGCGGAAGGAAAACACTAATCATGTTGACCTCGATCAGCAGGACGGTTTGAGGGTGGCAGAAAAGCAGCAGTCAGGACGCAGTGAGGCCTGTGTTTAAGTCATTAAAAACACGTCAGGGAATCATGAATGAGCTGAGGCTTTAAGCACATCTTTAAACTAATCATGAGTGAGCTGACGTGTCTCCGCTCTTTCTCTCTCTCTCTTTCTGTGTGTGTGTGTGTGTGTGTGTGGCGTGTTATTACAGCAAAGTGAGACTTAGCTTTCACTGACACACACGTCTCATCTGTAATTAGCCCACAGCTGTGCTTAAAGTAACTCACACCAGCAGATTTCATAATTAACAAGCAGAAATGATTACATACATAAAAAACACAGATTAACAACGCTCTGTCACACTCATCACACCTCACACTGAAATACATGACATTCAATCTTTTTAATTCTTAAAGGTGTACTGGCACCTAAAGATCACATAATTATCCTATCACATGATTTAGGAGTCATAATAACAAAAAAAATCCTGGAGAAATTTTGAATGTGCCTGCTGCTTGGTGCGTGTACTTCACGTTTCAATCCGTACAAAGGGCGTTACTGTCAGTTTCATTCATGTCGTAGAGACTTATTCTGACACTGACCTCAGTCACTGCAGGTGTCACTCAAAAAGCCTTTTGAAGTTGTAACGACTGGCAAAAATAACCTCACACTGATGGTTTCAAACCCAGATTTGTCCCCACAAGCATAGCAAGACATGTATACACAGATGTACATGTATACACACATACATTCCCTAACAGAAGTTGATCTGCAATAAAGCTATACCACTATATCCCCATATAGACGGTAGCTTCTAAGATTGAACTTTTATGACCTACCTTACCTCTAACCTTTTTGAGACTCTTATTTTGAAAGTGTCTGTGCTTCTGTGTTTGGGAGTATAAATTGCATAAGCTTTTGTACAACAGAGTGAATAATTCCCTCTTACCATGTTATGACTTTTATTTTGAAGGTTAATCCATTGGAGATAGTGTTTGTGTGTTTCTGTCAATATGTGTGTGTGTGTATGTTTGTGTGTGTGTGTGTGTGTGTGTGTGTGTGTGTGTGTGTGTTTGTGTGCAGCAGTAGAGCTGCCCAACAGAACCTCCAGTAAGTTCTTTTTACCTGGTTGAGACTCTTATTTTGAAGGTGAATATCAAAAAAGTAAAATAGTGTTTGTGTGTGTCTGTCAATGTGCGTGTGTGCATTGTTGTGTGTGGCAGTAGAGCTGTCTACCATACAGCCTCCAACAAGCTTGTGTTGCCAGGTTGAGACACTTATACAGTTAATATGCACATGGGATTGATGGAGTTTGTGTGTCTTTTAAACTAAACTAGGAGGCTCCAGGTAAAGATGATTTGTAGTTTTGCAAACAGGGCTGTTGAGCTGACTGTTGTGTATTTTCCATTGACTCACTAGCAGGGGACAAGACGTCTTTCTGCTGAGAGAAAAGATACTCCTGGTCAACACAGGAACAAATACCCAAACATTGAGGTCACTCCCAGAGCAGGAATAGTCGGGTTAATGGACTCTGGTTCCAACAACATGGAGCATTTGCAGGAAAGAGGTTGGGAAAAACACACACACACACACACACACACACACACACACACACACACACACACACACACACACACACACACACAGAGCCCTGCCAAATCAAACCTACAGGAGAGCTGGGCGGGCATTTTAAAATTCAGCTCCCTACCGAACATCATCCTCCCAGTCGGTGAGTGCCAAACAAAATCAACTTTATGTATAAGCAGGTCACACCGTCTCTGCAGCCAAGTGTGTAACAACACATAGAAAATACATTCATTTAGGAATTTCCTCATTAGGATCTGCAGGCTGAGATTCTCAACAGTAAACACAGACCTTCTCAGATCAAATCTCTACATCAGATGGCGCTGATCTCCAACGTTACCTCCCTGACGCTGTAGGATGGTTTCTTCATACCAGATCCGTTCTAGCTCTTGAATGACTTGCATTCCAGTAAGTGGGGATCCAGGAAAGAGGCAGATACAGTGGCTGGTTTGTGGAATCTGTCTCTATGCTTGGTAACCTGAGACCTTCACCTTGAGTCCAAACACTCCTGCAGAGAGCAGCAGCCAGTATAAGCTATGGGAGCTATGCTGTGTGTGTGACACAGTCAGAGTACGTGCATGTTTCAACATAAAGGGCTGCTTGTCAGGACATAATAAATAAATGATGCTGCAAGACAATTTAAAAAGGAAACAGTGCTGTACCTGGAATGTTTCACTTTCCACTGACTTTCATGATTTTTTTTCCAAACTCAAATTAGTGAAAAATACCCATTACATGTTTTCAGGGTGAAAGGTGATGTCTCAATGAACTGTTTGTCCAACCAATAGTTCAAAACCTTAGGGAATCAGAAAATCTTAATCAGCTGATGTTCAACATTTTTGCTTGATAAATGACAACAAAAGTAATCAGTTATCAAAATGAATCAGCTGATCCATTAATCAACAGTTACTCAAGAATTTCAAGTCAACTTCTAAAGCAGGAGAAGCAAGAAGCTCCTCTCCCTCCTCCGCCATCTCGCTCAGGAAAATGATGAGCTGAATGGCACAAAACAGAAACTCCACAGGACCTCCAACACCCTCTGACAGGTTTGTTCATATGACTACAGCCTCAGGGTTCGACAGAGAGATGTCAAAGCTATAAATTAGTAAAATGAAATCAAAGGTCTTAGCCTGTTAGTAACAGCTACTCTATAACAGCCAGAGAGGAAAGAGGATGTCATCTAAGATTCAATTTTAAAGTTTAAATATGATTCAACATGTATTCCTTATAACCACTGAAAAAAAAAAATTCCTGTGTTCACTCTGAACAAAGACAGAACAGGGTGGAAATAAAGGCGTCTCACAGCAAACTGAGCAGACTGTAACATTACCATTTTCCTGTTCGTGTGCTGTCATTCCCATTCATCACAACAGCAGCGGCAGCTGAAATAATCCAAAAGGAGGGATGGTCGTCTACAGAGCTGCTGCTGCTGCTCCGAGGCTGCTGGACCAAAATGTAATCCATTCTGCCCAGACACTCGTTCACAGCCCAGTGAGTGTGGACAACCTTAAGCCAGCTGGACGAGCATTCGTTGAGTCCTCAGCTGCACTGCACTTAGTCTGTGATTTGTCTTGTTTCCTCCTTCACTCTCTCTCTCTCTCTCCCTGTCTGATTTATTGTGCTCTTTCTGCTTTCTGTCTCTGCTTCTCTGTCTCTCTCTGTTTGCTCTCTTCCTCTCGCAGCACCTCGAGTGCCGGGCACTATGTTTGTCTGAGAGGGGCAGTGTGACCAAACACGAGGAGGGCTGAGAATGGGAGGGAGAAAGAGAGAGAAAAGAGATAGAAAAGGGAGATAAAAGAGAAACCTCCAAGTACATGCAAGCACAATTCTTTTTAAATTTTTCTTTGTATTATCTTCTCTCTCTCTCACACACACACACACACACACACACACAAGAAATCACAATGCTTTTACAATCATGCAGACTGGACATAAATAAATACAAATACATTTTAAAATATGTAAAATGTACTGTTTAATCATATGGACCTTTACTTATGCTTCTATACACTGAACCTGTATTTACTTAACCAATACTTCCACAGTACACATGAGCAGCTTTTAGGTCTCAACTAAGAATTAGAAAGAAAAAAAGACAAAACACAGTTAGCTCTTTTTCTCATTTCATTCATCTGTCCAAACCTCTAAAATCAGAACGGAATCAATCAGCTTCCCAGAGGGCTGATCCGCTGGCTAACACAATCAAAGCCACAGCAGCATGTCCTTGATATACTCAATGCTGTCACCGTGGCAGCAAAACCACCATCCACCACTGCCTCTCTCTCCCTGTCAAAAGATCATCGCGAGGACAAACTGAAAGAGGGCATCGACAATGTGAACAATCAAAAAGTGGGAAGAGAGGAGACACATGAATTCTGAAGAGGCTTCATATTAATCACATTTAACTTGCGTATATACAACACAAACAAAAAGCTGAGTTAAAGTTAAGGTATTTCAAAGAGTAATTGAAACAAGAGAAGAGACGGAGCAAAGCAGGACTTGAGGAGAAGAGAAGACGTGAGAAGGAAAGAAAAAGAGGCGATGATATCGGGTGAAACATCATACGGACGGCAGCTGCTGTGAACCAGTAGCAGGAAGATCTTGTGTCTGTATGTTTGAACTGGTCATGTCAAAGAAGAGACAAAGAGTGACAGAGAGAGATAGACTGATAGTGAAGTCTCTCTCTCTCTCTCTGACCCAGAGTGTGAGACAGACGAGTCCATGCAGCACATTCCTGTAGAGCTTTTTCTTTTTTTTTTTTTTGATCAAGGTCTTTTTTATTTTCAAACATGTTACCAAAAACATACAACTTCAACATGGGACAGTTAAGTCACAAGAAAGTTTCGCATGCTCACAAGAAAGTAGGCTTATTCATGGGAGGCCGATTAGGGTAAAACACCATGAAAGTGTGCACATACACATCAAATTAACCACATACACAATGAAAACTTCACGTGCACACCAAAAACATGCATATACACACTGCGCATATACACACCCCACTATCTTAATACAGCGTGATAGAGACTGCTTGTGTGTGTTAATGTACTGACTTCTGGATACGTATGCGCTCATTGCGCTGGCACTGGTGGACCCCCTAATGGTGTATCTAATTTTTTTCTAGGTGAATATGACATATAACGTCTCTAATCCACTGGCCGTATGTTGGAGGGGTAGCATCCTTCCATTTGAACAAAATAAGCCTCTGGCCAACAGAGAGCAAAAGGCTATTATATAGCACCCAGGGAGAGGAGCATCCACCAGAACCACACCAAACAGTGAAATCAGTTTGGATGCGTCTATTGTTTTCCCACATATTTTTGAGAATGTCTCAAAGATAGAAAAATTTTACAGTTTGGGACATGATCAAAACATGTGTAGCAGTGTGGCGGGATTTTGCTTGCTTCGATCACATGTAGGTTCAATATCCGTCTTAATCTTAGATTGTGTGTCTTTGGTCCAGTGAAGACGATGCACTATTTTAAACTGAACCGCAGTGTGCCTAAGGCATATCGAGGAGGAGTAAATTCTCTGTATAATTTTTTGCCAGATTGCTTCTGAAATTGTTTCATCTAGGTCCGTTTCCCATTTGTTTCGGAGAGAATCCAGATTGTTCACATTATGTGTGTTAAGTAATGTGTAAATGCTGCTTATAATTTGTTTTGAGTCAACTTCACATTTAAAAATTGTGTCTAGCAGAGTTACAGGAGGGCACAATGGGAAGCAGGCAGAGTTAGAGGCCATAAAACCTCTTAGTTGTAAATAGCTGTAGAAATGGGACATATGAAGATTCAATTTCTGTGCTAACTGTAAAAAGGAGGCAAACCTGTTTCATATATAGAGATCATATAGTGCACCAATTCCATTTCTTGACCAGATACGAAAAGCCTCGTCCATCACTGATCCATCCAGGTTTTGACTGAATGGATAACAACTGGATTAGAGGTGAAGGTTGACATAGGCTGATTAAACTGTAATTTGGAACATACGTAGTTAAGTTACTGGGGAAGTAGACCCAATGGATGCCCTCTCCAGCACCACCCATTCAAGACTATGTGACAGTGACATCATTCCCCATCCAATACAACAGTTCTCTTATAGTGGCAGCCCAGTGGTAGTACATAAAATTTGGAAGTGCCATACCTCTCCTCTGCAATATGTTTTTATTGATCCTGGGTGTTTTTTTATGCCATGTATACGATAATATCTGATCATTCAAATTGGAAAAAAAACATAGGAAGACATTGGAATAAATAAATAAATTTAGGGAGCACATTCATCTTAATTGTATTGATCCAACCCCCTAAGCAGAGAGGCCGCTGGTCCCAGCGCTCAAGGTCTTGCTTAAGATCAGATAACAGGGGTTGATAGTTAGCCTTATAGAGATCATTGTGGTGTAATCCATATACCTAAATATTTGAATTTTTTAGGGCGGATTTTAAAGGGAGCTGAACCAAAATGCATCGCATCCACAGAGATAATAGGCATAAGTCCACTTTCCCGAAGGTTAATTTTATAACCAGATATTCTTCCGAACTTTGCAAGTAAAGCCAGTATTCCAGGAAAACTTGACAGGGGGTCCGTTATAAACAATAACATGTCATCTGAAACTTTGTGCTCTGAACTAGCCCGGTGAATCGCCTTGCTAGAAGTGCTCTGTCTCAGAGCTGGTGCCAGCGGCTCAAGTGCAACAGCAAACAGGAGCGGTAAAAGAGGGCATACCTGCCTCGTACCCCGTTTGAGCTAGTAGGTGGATAGGTTGTTATTGGTGCGTACTGCAACCACTGGAAGAGTATACAGAATTTTAATCTTTTTAATTTAGGGTTGAAATTAAAAACCTCTAGGGTCTTGAAAAGATAGTCCCACTCCACCTGATCAAACACTTTTTCAGCATCGAGTGAGAGTAACACCTTAATATTCCCAGGATCGGGTGGAGAGGGACCATAAAGGATGTTATTAGTAATCGCCTAATGTTGAAAAAGGAGTAACGATTTTTTATAAATCCTATCTGATCTGTAGAGCTTTTTCAGTACATCAAAAAGTCACAAACTGTGTATGAGAGTGACACCTGCACATGCAACTTCACAACTGTGACCTGAGTTTGGAGCTTCAACACTTTTTAAATATTAAAATTTGTGTGAAACACTGAGTATTGAGAACTGTCTTGTATGAATGAAGGAATGAATGGTTTTGATGTGTCATACACCT